ATCTGCAAAGGATAGTCAACAACTGGCAATTACTCTGGACGGCCCATGCTCTTGACAAACCCTCAAACCCCAAAAAAGGAAACCAGACTCTTTGAGAAAAAGGCAACTGGAAACCGGACCATACTGCCTGAGGGAAAAGTAGCTGGCAGACATTCTCCCACAGAGTAGGTGTTCGTTGTTTTCGGTTTGTGTTTTTCTTCCTTTGTTTTTCAGTGTTCGTCTTGTCTGATCTAGCAAAACCGCGTCTGCAAGTACTAGCCTTCTTCAGGTCTCAAGTTTAATCTGCCTGACTTCCTATTGTTTGTTGCTACTATTTTTTCGTTCACTAGTTTAGAGTTGTAATCATAAAGGCTTGGGAATCTAGGGAATCCTGCAGTGGATCTAGGGTCGCATGATACATATTATGTTGTAGCAAATTTTAATGTTCTTCTTTCTTTGGGAGCTATACTTGCGATCTTTTTGTGGAGAAAAGATTGCTGGTCCTAATAATTTACTTCTTTCATCCTCATTTACTCTCTCCCATCATTGCAATGAATGTTTATTGCTATTATTCTTGCCTTTTCCGCAATGCATTTCTTAGGATTTATTGTAATGCCAAGAATCCCATCCTTTCCAGACTCTGTTCAATTCCGCACAGATCAACTATATCAGGATCGACCAAAACCCCCCTATGTTTTTTTGCAAGGACTGAATACGAAAGCATATTCGGTGTTACGGCGCTGTGGTTGCGGAAGACCGCGGAAGGGCGAGCGGACTCGTGTACTACACGAGTACTGAAAAGTTGTGCTGCTTGAGCTGGGGCGGCCCGTACTCTGCTAGTACTTAAAAGCTGCGATGTTTCAGCTGGGCGGTCAAAGTCAAAGTGTGCTTGTACTGAGATGAAAGCGATAGCACGAACGATACCCGCGCAATTCCGGAACGATACCGCGCAGTGCTTGGGGCCAACTGAGCTACCAATCTGGCAGTCCTTCGGATTCCCGCCGCAGAGTTTGTTTAAAAGGAATTTCGCGGTCCGATTTCTTTTTTCGCGTTTCGGACCTCGAAAAGCGCTCTGGCATCATATTTGGTGGTCCTTTTGATTACAGGGCAGAGTTTGTAGAAACGCGCGAAAAAAGATTTTCGCGGTCCGAAATTCGTTTTTTTCGCGCATTTCGGACCTCGAAAAGCGTTCTGGCATCATATTCAGCGGTCCTTTTGATTCCTGCGGCAGAGTTTGCAGAAAACGCGCCGAAAAAACGAATGTCAGACCGCGAAATTCGTTTCGTCGCGCGTTTCGGACCTCGAAAAGCGCTCTAACATGATATTCGGCGGTTCTTTTGATTTTCGCGGCAGAGTTTGTAGAAGCTCGCGAAGACAAGAAACAAAATGACGATTCGCGCGTTTCGCCGATTTCAATATCGCAAGAGTTTCGCTTACTGTCAGCAAGATCAAGATGCCAACTTGAAGGTCTGTTAAAATGGGTGCTGTTTTGTCTAGTTTCTTGGATGAGAAATGGCTGGAGCTGGATATTCTTGCGAGCCGCGTGATGTTGCGAGCTGAAGCTGCTGAAGTGTCTTGAGGAGTTCTACAACTGCCATTTCTTGATGAAACAAAAAACAACATGGTGCGTGCAAGCAGGGCTTGGAGGTGGGCCATCTCCCAACCTTCAAGAACACCAGTGTACCTTGAGTCTGTAGCTGAGCTCATATTGGCACCTCACCAGCCAGAAGGTCGAACAAGGTATCCCAACGTCAAGGCTCCTTTCCTGGAAGTGCCCAATGACCTGCTGAGCTTGAATGGATGAATATTGATACGTAGTCATTGCTGCTTATCAATGGTGATTTGTGTGGTCGGACATTCGGCACCACTTGGGTTCAAGTTGCAACACCTTCTGGAGCCTAAATTCTCAGCTGATTTCATTCCCAACGCGTTCGTTGCGAGCACTTGAATTGCCACCATTTGTGCTGTTTGACTCTGGAGCGGACCAGCAGTGCGCCGGCTCAGCTCAGTCTCCGGCTGAGGGTCCTGCAGACGAACCGGCAGCCCTGGTCGAAACCGGGGCTGGCCAAGAAGCAGCAAATCCGCATGGGGGACCTCGCCTTTACTCATGAAAACGAGTGCGTGGTGGAGTCCTTCATGGCAGCTTGTCCTACCTTCCTACCTTTCGGGTGCTGACCCCCCAAAACACCAACCCTTCAGAAAGACCCCCGAAAGGGACCAGGAGCTGGCCGCCTCTTTGGGGCTGTCACATACTCGTGGATGTGCTCTGCAAACACTTATTGTCCGATCCCTCTGAGGATATGGCTTTCAATCTGGCTTAAGGTTGAGCTCATCAAGCTTCCGCTACGTGTTTTCATGGTTAAGAAGGAAATCCACAAGAGGCCCGGTTCGAGGCTCGAGATTCACCTCCGAGGTGAATTACCAACTGGCGACCTTCGAGCAGAGCCGTGCGGAGTTGTCTCCCCTTATGCTGGCCTGCATCGAGGGCAACTGCAGTCACGTGGAGAATCTCTTGAACCTGAAGGCGAAGCCTGCTCGATCCAGCGAACGGAGGAACACCGAGTAGTCCTGTTGATCGGTGAGTTTGGCTGACAAAATAGAGGGTGGTTGTATTGGGTTGATTCCACAAACCAGGGCCGTCTATGTTCCCAAAAGCACACCTATGGAGAAAAACATGAATGAAAGGCCCTGGGATCACCCGGCTCGGGATCCGAGGACTAATGGCCGTAGAGAACTCATCTCGCAGAAGTAAGCAGAGTTCACCCAAAGGTGACATTTACCCGCCAAGATCACGGCTTATTTGAGCAGGCAGATGATTTGACCCACTGAGTCCAGAGTGGCGGGCTGAAGCTTGTCTGGGCTGCTGACGTGTGGAATGGAAGATTGATTCTAGTATCTGCACTGTTTTGCGAGCTCAGTTGGGCGTGAAACAAGCTTGCTCATTGAGACTTGAGACTTGAGGATGCCGTATTTTTGGTTGGCATGTCAACAAGTAGTGTGGAGTATGCATAATCAGATCACGCAATGCTGTTGTTTTACCAGCGTTTCCTCAGCGAACCCCTCAGACATGAAGGCTCTTTTAAGTTTCCCTTCAATTATCCTACTCCCTCGTTTGGGAACACACCCATGGTAGGCCTGTGTTGTATTGTGCTGTGTCTCTGTATGTGTGTGTTTGCAGACAATCTTGGTGTCAGTAGCCGTTCAGCGCAAGTGAGTGTTGCAAGGTAGCTTCCTCGGACCCGCATAGCCCTGTGCACATCACCCGTCAGATTCCAGAGACTCTTGACCCCCTCCCAGTTTCCCGCCGGCTTCCGTGCTAGGTGGACGTGAACAAGATGTGGCAGGGCTCCCTCCCGGACGTTCAGCTGGAGGGCACCCACACTGCCCTCTCCATTTCATCGGCCTTCTCCACTCCCAAGGCGCGGACGCTGCTCAGCTTGGCCGTGGCCAAGAGAAGAAAACGTCCTGTGGAATTTACTCACTCCCTGAGTTCATGGGCTTTTACTTTTTGAGAAGACAAGTTAGGTGGTAAACTTTGTTGTGCGCTATTCGGAGCAAACGAATCAATCAAACGTGGGAGCCATGAAGGCCCTCGGACTTTGCAGCTCACGACTTCACTGAAAGCTGCCAGGTTGTGCGTTTGCTGCTGCAAAGCCGCGCCAGCCTAGATGGAGCTAGCGCGTCACCCCTGGAGATGGCGGCCCTATTCGGCAACCACGAGGTGATGCCGGCCCCACGGCCCAACGCTGTGATCGGTTCTGATGGCCCCCTGAAGTGGATGCAACGTTTTTGGAGTTCTCAACGATTTTGGTGGGGCGGGTTCCCTGAAAGACCATCACTCAGGCCACCTTTGAGGATGTCACTTTAAGGGACCCAGCAAGATGGAGGCAAGATGGAGAGGCTGCCTGATTTTGGGCGGCAAGTTACCTGGCATGGAATGCAAAGATGTGCGGCAGGCCAGCAGGCTTTGCTACACTTAATTTGCTTGCGTTGGCAATGACCGTTTACCAGCCGCAGGTTTCATGGTTCCCAACTAAAAAGAAGCAAGTCTGGCTCCAGCGCCGGCCTTCGGGCTGTTCAGGTCTTGGTGGAGTACGGTGCAGATGTGGGACGCCGGAACTTGCGGGGGGATCCGGCGCTTGTATGTGCCGCTCGACTTGAGTTAGACGGAGCCATTGGGTTTGCTTGGAGCTGGACGAGGTGTCCAAACACAGTAGAAGCGATCAGGGGCTTTGTGGCCGTAAAGCTGATTGAGCAATTCCCTGAAGGGTTGGGACATGGCAACATTCGGACAAAATTGTGTCCCACGCACTTGGGCTCTGAGCTTTGCATTTGGCAAATGACTGCTTTCTGCAACGACTGGACCTAATTCTGGCCGGCATTTGCTCCCAAGCATAGTGTCTCACGCAAAAGATCCAAAACGGACTTCCCTTCCCATGCGTTGCTCTGTCCTTGAGCCTGAGCTAACAATCCAGACAACCTGCACAGGTTTGGATGGGTGCACAGCGCACTATCGAGTTCCGATGTGCCAGAGTCAACGAATTTAGCATGATCGATAAGGGCAACTCTTTGATGAATTTGGATGATAGTTGATGATAGTCCATGAAGTAGCTGTTTGTGTTAGGCGACTTCAATAATCCTTACAATAAATGATAGGCATTGCCCGATAGGACCCATGAGACCCATAGGACCGCGACGGTCACAAGAGTCCAAGCCATCCACGTCGTACATGCCACCAGGGCCAACAACGATGCACTTGGCGTCTTAGAGCTTTGCCTGAGAAAAGCCAACATGACTTTTTGCCTGGTGACTCATTGGCAGTCCAAAAGCCAGCTTCTCAATCACAGGGACCTTTTGAAATAGGCATGCAGATGCAGGCAGTGTGAGATAGGCCCAATTCATGGCATGCGTTTCTTGGCATGGCTCGTCTTTGGCGTGTTTTTCCCACTTGGACTGTTGGATTAACCATCAAACCTACAGCTTGCCAAGCTTTGTCTGAAGGGGATTGTCCACTCGATTGACACTGCTTGTTGCATATTGCAAGTCAACAAAATGCTTCTCCTTTGGGCTAAATCCTGGTCGCTTGTGCAGTCGGTTGCCAAGGGCTCCCTAAGTTCCCACTTTGCACGGCCAGTCTGACTTCCTTTTCCTCTGAACCTGTCCCCAAAAAGAAAAAGGTTGCCTCCCTTCAGACGGTTCCAATTCATTTCTCGGCATGCCAGACTTGACCATCAGAATGCAGACGGTTTCCAACACAGCCCCGACAGCAATGGGCATTTCGAGCTCCAAGATGGGCCGCCAGGCGATGTGCTCGCAGAATCCGAAGGTGGTTCAAACGCTGCTGGAGCTCCGGGCAGATCCCAATGAGAGACTCAGCGATTCAAATTCGAGACATGGAGTTTCAATATGCCTGCGCCAGGTTTTGTAGTAACCATGGCAAGTGGGTTATAACCCATGCTTACTAACCACTTACAAAGTAGCTGACCCCCTCAAGTAGTTTTCTCTCTTTTGACAATTCTCTTTGACCATGTGCGGGAACGCTCTATTGGTTGCCCGTGCTGTCCACAGATCTCCACAGAGCGGAAGGGGCCGGTTGCTTTGCTTGCCTGGAGAACATGTGCGTGTTAGACGGCATGCATTGTGCCACAACCTCACTTTGTCAGGCAGTGTCAATAAGAGACGTTGTTCTAGGATTGGGGATGCCCAGTGACGGTTCTGTTTGTTTTCACTCTCGGACCAACCAAAAGCGGAGCTTACCAAGTCTAGAAAGGACTCATGACTTATATACCGATGCTTACGTGCTTCTGAGCAAGAAGCAGGGTAAACTGCACTCTGAAACCTATGAGACCCTTGCAGTGCCATACCATCCAAGATTGCTTGACTGGTTTGCACTGCCAACTTCATGATGCGCTCAGTTGTGTGCTGCTTCCAGAAGGAGGATATCCCATTGAGGGCCAAACGGAGTACACACAACCCCACAGCCTTATCAGACTATCAGTCATCGTGTCTACAATTTGGTTGTCCAAATAGCTGCATGAGCTGTTCTTCAGCGGGTACAGCTGGGACCTGCGCGCCTTGACAGCCCTTGGCCCCCAGCTGCCAAGTTTTTTGCACAGTTCCCTGTTTGATAACTCCGAACATGACTTGAGCCTGGTCGAGGTTCACACAAGAGGAGCTGCGGATTTAAGATGATGTAAGTCCTGTGGGCAGAATCAACAAACGCAACCGGAATCAACGGCTTGTACATTATACGTAGAGCAGCGATGCCTTGTCTATGGGGCAATCCCGGTAAGTTGTTGGGTGCATATTTGTTCAGCGTGTTTGGCTTCTTGGGAAGCCTGCCGGAACAAGCGAGCAAGCAACCGTTTCGCTGCTCCCGCTTTGCAGGGCTGGCGGCTTTGGGCAGAGCGCGCTGGTGATGAGCGCCATGCAAGGCAGGGGTTTTTCAGATGAACTGCGAGACCAATTCCAAGATTGCCAGGCAACAAAGGAGATGATGCCAGGCAAAATCGGCACCATTTTACTTGCTCGGAACTCCTGAATCATGGAAGTTTGGTAGGGGTGATTTGTTTGTTTCGGCTTGATGCCCCTTCCGCCTTTTCGTCTCAAAGGGATTGGTCAGGCGCAAGCTGAGTTCAATCCCCATCGCGCTGAGTCTGCAGCGCGTTTGCTGCTTTGTTATCCATAAATCAACCCAGAACGAAGGGTTTTGACAATCCTGGTGAGAGCCGTGGCCACACACACGGAGTTCTGACCATGTCTATCAAGGTCTCCGTCTCCTACCCTCCTACCCTCCTACCCTCCTACCCTCCTACCCTCCTACCCTCCTACCCTCCTACCCTCCTACCCTCCTACCCTCCTACCCTCCTACCCTCCTACCCTCCTACCCTCCTACCCTCCTACCCTCCTACCCTCCTACCCTCCTACCCTCCTACCCTCCTACCCTCCTACCCTCCCTCCTGCATGCTTGCTTCCTGCCCGCCTCCTGCCTGCTTACCTACCTACATGCGTTTCTAGAATCATGTGAATCTATGAATTGGTCTACAAGTCGAGTCATTTTTCTAGCATGGTCGATATATTCGTAAAGAATTTCTATCTCTATACCCAGTTGAATCTGTTTAGGGCAACTCGCTGGCCGCTCATCGCCTTTAGCCAAGCCATCCGCAACCTGGTATGGGGTCAGCACGCGAGTCACAATCAAACCTGGTACTAAAGTGGTCTAAAACCAAGGAAAGACATGAAAGGGCGCACCGTATGGGTGTGTCTTTTCTTGATGGCACCCTGAAGTTAAATACTGTGCGGCCAGTGGCTCTTCCAGATTGAGCTGAAGTTAAATACTGTGCTGGTTGAGCGCCTTTGCCCACTTCCCATTCCTCGATTGTCGGTACTCTACACTCGCTAATCCTTTTTCGGGATGAGGTGAGGGGCCAGAGTCTCCCTGTCATTTGTGAACATCGATTTCCGCAAACGCGCCGGGACAAGACACCGGCTGACCGCAGTCGCAGAGGGCCCTCTTGTGAAAGGCATTCCGCAACAGCCAATCTGCGAAAGTCAGGTCTAACACAGCTGGACAGATGGCGCATATCTGCGTATCCCTGCTTGTGATTCGACAGGTTTGCATTTTTGAGAGCCAGTTGCAAACCCTTCCAGACAGCACGGCAGCCTTACACAGCGTTTCGTTCCGCTGGAGCTTGTGAAGGACGAAGCTGGTTGCGCAAATGCTATTTCTTAAAAACAAAAAAAACAAAAAACATCCTGTCACCGTGTCTTGCCGACATTCGGATCCAGCGTCCCTTGCATGTCCAAAACAACTGCAAATGCTAAAGATATGTTTGCAGAACGCGTTGCCAATCCATGACTCGACCCTGACTCCATCCCATTGACAGCAACGCAGGCTTGCTGAAGCATGCGGAATACCTGCTCAACGGCGGCGCGGACGTCAACGCGTGTGCCACACCAGCAACCTCCCCACAGGCACTGGTTTCACAGCAAAACTTTGTCACTGCTGAAATCAAGCATGAGACAAGGGCCATCATTTGCCATGCGTGTACTGGTATGCCTGTGCGTACGCCTCGAGCGCTGGCGTGGGTCTTTGTGTGTGTGTGTGACTAAACTGGACTAGTTGTGTCATGAACCATGGAAGCATGTGGGAATGCGAGCATGTTCCCTCTTGGGAGGACCTTGTCCACTTCCAGCTGAGAATCCCTTAGAGCAAGGTGCAAGGGAACCAAGTAACCAAGCCTTCGCAGCCAGACATTGGCGCAAACCCGTGAGGCCCGTCAGGCCCAGCTCTGGGTGAAGAGTTGGCAAGGCAAGAGTGCTTCCCACTCGCACCTCGGATCCAGAGGTTTTACCCTGTGACGTTTGCCGGGTAATGGCTATCTCACTCCCTGAGTTCATGGACTTTACACTTTTGGGGGTTGGACCATTTGATGGTAAGCAGAATGTTTAGACTTTTGTTTGGCCAATCAACTCAGCAACTGAGTGGAGGAATCTGACCAAAAGCAAGTTCTTTGCCACGTTCCGGGCTTGCAGGGTCGGGGAGCAAGCCAAGCGTTCAATCCACATGTTGTGAAGAGAAACTGCCTTCTTCCGGGCCATCACCGTTGATATGGGACTCACCAAGGAGGGGAAAAACAGTGCAGAAGTGAGGCACACTACACATGGGCGGTTGACAAAATTAAGGATCACTTTTTGGCCGTTAAAAGCCACACATGACACCAGGGTCATAAGAGGGGGACACTTCTGACAACCTTTCACATGGCAAAGTGTGTGCACAGTAGGTTTCCGCGACAAAGACGGATTCCACACAGCAGCTGTGGCTGGATATGTTTTGACTTCCGGCAGAGCTGTTTCACCTGGCCAGTGCCTTAGGCTTTGCCAACGTTTCGTGATTGGCGCTTCGAAAGCGAACGCGGAAACTGAAGGCGGGCCATTTGTAAAATAATCTTTGGACTGGAGGGGCCCTGTGTTCATTTTTGATCTGTTCCATGCAAGTTTTCATGGGGACAACATTTTGTGCCGAGGAGTCCGTAAGCTCCATTTGTATTTTTGACTCTAAGAAGCCACCACGAACCCGCGGAAGCTGAGGCAAGCGAGCCTTGCCCTGATGAGCTTTGCTACGCCTATACATATGGCGGCGCTGAATGGCGACCTCGAGCTTTTGCGTTTGCTGCTACAGCACCTGGGACAATGAACAGTCTGCACCTCTCTCTTTTGTGCGCGGGTGTTGGAGCCGGCAGGAAGTGCCTTGGTATTGCTGGTAAAATGCAACAAGTTCTAACAACATGGACTATAGACCCCAGATGGCCAGAATTCCATGAAGTCATCCATTTACGAATCAAACAGTTGTCGAGATTCTATGGCATTGCCTATATTTATTAGACAGTGCATTCAGGATTCCGGAGTTTGCCGAGCAGAAGCATGCCATCCTTTTGCTTGAATCATCATCTGGCTTCCAGAAACACATGCAACCGGATCAACCAAACCCTGCAGCAATGCGATCACACATGTGTTGGAACACACCTTGACATCTCAGAACGCTGATCGGGACCTGAGCTGGAAAGTTTGCAAACTCATTGCTGTTGTTGTTCACCACGACAATGTGCAAAAGGAAATTATCGTCCAGAAAACATGTGCAACAACCGTCCTAATTACCCACAAAACATGCGCGATAACAAACGGCGAACAACTATACATATACATAGATATGGCACCCCAATTTCTGCCACAAAATCACTAAGGCGAGAACGGCATAAAGCACTTGGCAACACCCGGGGCCCCGGGGAGGGGGGGGGGCAATATATATATATATATATTTATATTTATTTATGGACATATATATATATATACACATACCCAGAACTTCCTCGGCCATTAAATAAATGTCCTTGGGACAACGGACATTTTTTGCTCGAGAAGGGACATTTGTTGCATCCACTATGGGGGTCCAATTTCTTCGAGTGCTCTGATCAGGGCAAATTGACACCATAGACAAAACATAGACAAACCATAGACAAACCATAGACAAACCATAGACACACCATAGACATACCACAGGCAAACCAGTCGGAAAACCATAGGCAGGCAAAAATCTGCTACAGAAAGTAAGGTGCAAGTTTGGGGTACTTGATTCCGCAGAAGGGGAAACACATTGCAAAATCATGATATTCACATCAGGTTGAATCGTAAAACCGAAATTTGTTGAGCTCGTTGCTTGCGACCGAGAGGGACCGTAGACAAACCGTAGACAACCCGTAGAAAGTACATTTTCTGCCGTAGAAAGTACATTTTCTGCAGTAGAACGACCATTGATTGCCTAGAAAAGACATTTTCTGCACACCCCGTTTTTGCACCATTTTGGTGTCAATTCGCGGCAGGTGTCTTCTCAGGACATTGTTGCTCTTTTCTGGCTTGGCAATGGGCCAATGAAAGGCTTGTGCACCACATATGCATGCGTGGATTGGTAAATGTATGCCCTGTGCTTCCTCGACTATTCTTTAAATAGCCTCGACCATTTAAAAGACGAAAGGCTATAAAAGTAATGTCCCTCGACCATTAAAAGTAGGTCTAGACAAACTTGGCCAACTCGGACGGCTTCCTGACATCCCCACGCGCTTCTGTGCAGTGAGAGGTTGAAGAATTTTATTGCTGCCTTTTATGAAATAAGCTGAGTATGTTTTACAGTCGCTTCATCCCGTTGTAATCACATGCCGTCACCAGCATGCTGTGTCAATTTGGCTTGTCTCTCACATGCCCGTGCGTGTTTTTCCACTTCTTGTCCACAGCTCCACAGAGTCGTGTTGTTTGTTGATTGTTTAATCGATTTCGAAAGAAAATGAGGCGTGGACAAACCATGGACAAACCGTGGAAAGGACGTTTTTTAGCGTGGAAAGTACATTTAAAAGCGTGGAAAGTACGTTTAAAAGCGTGGACAACCATACCTGCAGCAGCCCACAACGCATGTTTGATCGGCAGCGATGCCCCGAAACCACTAAGTTTGCAGGGCTTTTTAAAAAGCCAGACTTCAGTACCAACATGCGAAGAATCTATGCACGCCTCTACAGTAGGCGGGACACCTGGCGATTTTTAAAAGTGATGCGACCACAAGCCGGGGAATGAGTGGCTTGGGTGCAGTCATTCGCAGCTGGGAGGATGAGGGCGGCGTGACTGACCCTAAGCAATTCTTGGGCAACAAAAACCATGATTTTTTTCGATGTTCAGGGCCAGGCGCAAAAAACGGTCTTTCGGCAAAAAACCGTCTAGCGACCTCAACCATTCTTTTAATGGCCTTTGGAAGCCTAGGGTATGCTGGACCAGTACATGCATATATCAAACAAAGACTTCCCGAGAACTGCCCCGTGGCTGACGTTGGCAAGTTTCGGCAGAAGGCAGCCCTGCGAAGCGCACGAAGCACTCTCAAGCTCGGCAAAATGGGACTGTGCAGCCCCGTCCAGCTACTTTTAAGTAGGATTTTCGTGAAAATCATGATCCGACCTAATTTAAGCAAAACATGGCCTTTTCCCAGCAAATGTACTTTACCACCTCGGCCATTTATTTAATGTCCTTTGGAAGTCTCTATACATACACACATTAAAAACATGATTGACATTGAAGGCAGATTTGCACCATGGCATTATCCATGGTCTCGTGTTGCCAATGCTGAGTGAACATGCAGATCGCGTTCTGGTTTGAGAATGTGGAGTGTGTTAACTCTGCAAAGGGCATGTGAGAGCGTAGAACAAAGGTATCCCGTTCGCTGGTTAAGGCAAGTTGCGCCTTCAGGCATGCATCTTGTATTTGTTTAATAGTGTCAAGCATGCTGCTAGTGTTGACTGATGCCACCAGCGACGCCGGATACCTGACAAACAGTTAAGGCATATTTGATCTCTTCTATGGACATGTGACCTGATATGTTGCACAAGTACTTACATGTTGTGCAGGGTGTCCATGTTGCAGCAGATACTAGTCATGTGTAATGTACATATGATATGTGCAATATACAAATGCTTGTTCCAATATCAGTGTCACCATATGTAGTTTCTCGCTAGATCAGCCTATTATGCATTGGTCAACGGCGCGGCATCAATATAGGTATTGATCACTCCGAACTGACAAGCTCCATCATCACTCCTTCTGCCTCAATCTTGGCCTCGCAAGCTGGGACCACTTCCACTGCTCCCAGTAGCCTGACCTCGAGTCTGTGCCGTAGCTACCAGCATTTGCTTCGATTGCGCTGGTTGCTTGAGCTCAGGCACAAAGCTGATGCTTCCAAAGCCGCGGGGAGGGAGAAGGTCACGCCAATAGAAGTTGCTGAGGCGGGGATACTGTGGATGCACAAAATCCATTTCACACCACATGGAAAACATGGGAAGCCATTGTTTGTTGGCAATTGCAGGGGAGTCATCATTCGAGGGTTTCTTAGGTGGTGCAGGATTTTGTCCACCCGCAGTGTTGGAAGTTGCTCAAATCTTCCCAGAAACAAGTGAATAGGTAGATGTACATAGAATTGTGGTTCAGACCTAGCCTTGGCCATGACCGACCCGAGTCTTGGGGGAATATGAAAGTTGGGACTACGTCGCGTAGATTTTCAATATGTCATCATATTTGCTTACTGTGTCATGGTATGTGATGGGGTCTGAACACGCCGGAAGAGCCAGGTCGTTTGCCAACGTTTGATTCCTGAAGATTCTGCTGTGCGTTGGAACCGTAACAGGGCCATCATGAGGCATGGCTTCTCACGGGCTTGGCCCACTGCTTTGCCATGTGCCCAGGGCTTTTCCTCGCATGGGATGTTTTGTGTATTTCAGGGGATCCCAATGCCAGTGTGAAGTCTGTCCGTGTGCCAGGCTCAGGAAGGGAGAGCCTCGACTGGCAAAAATCACCGCCAAGTCCGAACTTTGGCTTCCCTTAATTCCCCCCTTTTGCCGCCCATCAGCGGGGTAGCGCCTTTTTTTCTTGCCGGACGTCAGAAGATCCACTCAGAATGTCCCTCCTTCCAGGCCCACGGCCACAGCGATGTGCTTTTGCTATTGAGCGGCGCAGCGGCTGTGGATTATTTGGCGGTATGAGGAGTTCACCGCATCTCGGCGGAAGTCGCGGTGCATTTTGTTGGACATTTCCAGAAAAGGGCTGCAGGTGAGACACGAGCATGCTAGTTTGGAACAGATTCGCACGCCGCGAGGCTATTGCAACACACACACACACACACAAGGCCGCGACAAGTTTCAGCGGCTTCTGTGTCAAAAGATGTCAAAAGGGATACTTTTCCTGCAGTGTCTAAAGTCCTTTTGAAATATTCGTCCATCTTGGTTGTATTGTAAAGTTCAACACGTGGGCAGCTTAGCCTTTTGCAGACTGTGAAGCACCATGGGTGGTGACATGGTGTGGTCTTCAGAGGCAAGTGGGCGTGCGGTTACGCGCCATGACCGGCGAAGGGTTCGAGGGTATGGCCGCGAGGATTTTGTTTAGGTTGCAGCAGCGAGCAGGCTTGTTGAATCCCAAGCGGCACATTTGTTGTGTTGCAGAAGCCCGCTTTTCCAAAAAGTCAATCTGTCAAAATGGAAGACTCTCTCGCGGTAAGGGAGGGCCCATTCAGACCTTGATGCGATTGAGAACGGCCCAGTTGTTTCCTTCCTGACCATACTTGTTGAGTGTTAGAGAGTGGACGAGGCCCTGCAGGTTGATACTGGGAGGCTCCTTCCCCTCACCTTGCTTCCCTTAGGAACGCCGTCTTCTATCATTTTCTAGCGACACTGCTGCTCAAGGCCGTCGCACCTTTTGGCGCAGCTAAGCGGCATGGTACAGCAGCCAGATGCTGGCTGACGAATTGTTTTGCTTGCAATGCTAAATGGAATTTTCAATTTCCGGATCCTTCAAGCACTGGCGCTTCCGTGTATTTCTGGTTTAGTCATAACCGGAGAATGCCTTTGCCGCCGGATCTGGGGATTCCTGGCACTCTTGGACGCACCGCTCGAGCCATTGACTTAAGATATAGCCTTTTCCCTGGGGAGATCGTCCTCTCAGAGCGTTTGACAAGGAGAAAACCACGGTCTTCACGTTGCTGACGCACACCCGGCCGAATGGATGTGAACCCGTTTGCTTGATTGCGTTGAACGGAATGCAACCAAGGCAACCCACTCAGTACCTTTGCAAGAAAGGCACTCAACACACTTACTTGCAGGCGCGAAAACCAGCTCTGTGCATGTGTTGTTGCGCTCGCAGAAAGCCGCTCATGCAGAAACAGGCCGCTCAGTTAGAATACGCTTTACATGTGTAGTCTTCCGCTGTTGAAATCTGATTTTATAGCACTATACTTTTCCTGACTTCAGAGAACAGACCAAGCATATAAGTATTTAGTTTGGAGCACGCTTCGTTTTCCGAATTGTTCTTTCCTTGATCTTTTGTTTTTCTCGTTTATCTTTGCTTTTATATCGTTCTATTGTTTTTTTATTCCCCACCTCTCAGGTGAGGGTCTCTAGATTTCAGAGTTGCCTTCCTCCAACTTCCTCTTCCTCCTCTTCCTCCTCCTCCTCTCCTCCTCCTCCTCTTGCTCATCCCCTTCCTCCGTTTCTCCGCTTTCCTTCTGTGCCTCATGTGCTCCCGTTCTGGCTGAAGAGTGTGCTGCGCTGGACTTTCTGCGGAGTGTTTCGCGGGGCTGGCGTCTGAGTGTGCTGCACTGGACTTTTTGCGGGGCCAGACTTTTCGACAGGCCAGACTTTTCGAAGGGCCTACTTAATCTCACACTATCTATTTATCATTTTATCTCTCTCTCTCTATCTATCTATCTATCCATCTATCTGCTTTCTACCTATCTATCCATCTATCTAACTATCGATCTATCTACCTATGTACCTATCTATCTATCTCTCTATCTCTATCTATCTATCTATCTATCTATCTATCTATCTATCTATCTATCTATCTATCTATCTATCTATCTATCTATCTATTTATCTATCTCTTTCTGTGTATATATATATATATATCTGTCTGGCTATCTATCTCTCTATTTGTCTATCTGTCTGTCTATCTATCTTTCTACCTTCTATTTATCTCCCTACTTATCTATCTATTTGTCTGTCTATCTACTTAATTCCCGGTTTCTATCTAGCTAGCTAGCTATCTATCTATCTGTCTATGCGTCTGTCTATCTACCTATCTACCTTCTATCTACCCATCTCTCTATCTACCCATCTCTCTCTACCTATCTATCTGTTTGCCTATCTATCTATGTATCTATCTCTGTGTCTATCTATGTTTGCGTTTATTCTGAGGGCACTTTGGCTCAATCCATGCTGTTTTATCTTCTTTGCTTGCTGTTTGCTTCATAATCGGCGCCAAGAAGGACATGGTTTTCAGTGCAATGATGGCGAGCAGTTTGAGACATCTGTCTATCTATCAATTTATCTCTCTCTCTCTCCCTCTCGCTCTCTACCTATTGATCTATCTATCTATCTATGTATCTATCTATCAAACTACATTTCTGTCTCGCTAACTCTCTGTTTATTTGTCTCTATCTTTCTCTATCTGTCTATCTAATCTATCCAATCTGTCCATCCATCCATCCATCCATATCTATCTATCTAACTATCTGCTTGCTATTTATCTATCTATTTGTCTATCTATCTATCTGTCTGTCTATTTATTTATCTCTTTATCTGTACCTAACCTTCGAAAGTGCCGCGCCTGCAACAAACTCTGTACTGGACCTTGTGAAAGTGTCTGTACTGGACCTTGTGAAAGTGCTGCGCCTGCCGCGACATGTATACCTGCCCTTGCGAAAGCGCCGCGCTTGCCACAAAATCTGTAGCTGACCTTGCGCAAGTGCTGTGCCTGCCACGAAAGACAAGTGCTCCGCCTGCCACGATACCTGCGCCCGACCTTGCAGACGCGCTGCGCCTGCCAGGAAATCTGTACCTGACCTTGCGAAAGCGCTGCGACTGCCAGGAAATCTGCGCCTGACTTTGAGAAAAGAGCTTGCGTGCCAGTGATTTGCTTACATGGTTCAAAGGTGGGGATCACTCGAAGTAAAGTAATTTATCCATTTCTCCTTCCCTTTCTATTTCTCATTTTTTTCTTCTTACTCTGTCTTTGTCATTTTCCGTTTCCCCTTCTCTGTCCTTTTCTCTTTCTCTGTCTCACATTTTGACAGTTGCGCAAGCTGACATGTGAAAAGCACAAAATCAAACACACACACACACACAGTCACACCGCTTGCTCAAGATTGACCCGCACTTTGGGCACAAAGGCTTGCGCGAGCCAAGTGAACAAAGACGCGAGCAGCCACGCGCGCTGTTGAAGGTCGTCCCGCCCAACGTGCGCTGTGTCGAATAATTTGCGTTGTGACGCCAACGAGCAAGACTATACATTATATGGTAAGTCTACGGGCAGACGAAGACTGCCGGAAGACTACTGTGCATTTCAGAGCCGGTTTTCTAGAAACGATGTGCCGTTTTCGCAAAGCCTCCACGAAGCCTCCGCAAAGCCACCACCGCGGTCCAACTTCCATACTACCCACTTTGCGGCCCTCGCAAGTCCCGTGCCCAGAGCCTTCCGCATTGGACGCCCACGGCACGACCCCGTGAAACTCTGACGTCGCCCTCGTGTGTGCGTACGGCACGGCCCTGGTCCAACCGCAAAGCGGCCTCAAAAACGCGATGCAGCCGGGTCAGCCCCCCGTCATCCCCCCCTTTCGCATAGATTCAACTTGATTCATCTAAATGAGTCCCCAAACATCTGAGATGTGGGACAAGCGTCCGCAAAGCCCGGCGAAGCCACTCCGCAAAGCCACAGTCTTGCTGCGAAGCCTACCCTTCCTGAATTCTGGCTCGGCGTAGCCTTCCCAGCAGCGTGTAATGCTGTTGCGCAACAAGGAATTCCAGCCCACAGCGCACCATTAATTGCCGACAGCGGACCATTCCGGTATGACAGCTTACCTGACCAAACAACTTGGACAAACAGACGCTCACGAAACTAGCACCTCAGAATAGACCTGCAGCATGTCTGAGCTACAATTCCCACATACACTCGTAACTGTTCTTGTGTTTGTTCCGTTGCTCCTTTTTCGCGTTGCGGCGATCATGAAATTAAAGCTAGGCTTGCCGGGTCGGGTTCGAGGCTTTGTTGCAACTTGTTGCTCCGCTTCAGTGATCTATAGTCGCCTTCCTGGCCAAAAGCATCATCGAACCCATTACAGTTGGGGCGGGGTGACCGACTGGTGCAGTTTGGCAAGACATGTAGGGGAGGCAACGTAGCCTAGCTTGCTGGGGATGGTGTCAATCAACCTTCGGAATGCCAGCGCGTTACAACTACAAGTTCAGCTGCTTCAGCAGCAAAGGAGCTCTTGAGTGGTGCAGAGGAGTCCTTGCAGGACACATTATCAATTAGCCCAACTTCGGGTCCTGGCTGGCCAGGATGGGGCAGCGTTTGCAGCAGTTTGCATACAGTCCAGTGCTCGGAATGCCCTGGAGCCCAATAACACCAGATCCGTGTTGAATTAAAGTAGGCCGATTCCTGGGCCGCCCAAGATCAATCAAATGACCTGAGCACGGAAAAGCTGCCAGCTCACAAGCACCCAAGCAATTTAGTGACAACCGTATTTTGTTCATCAACTCCTTCTGGAAGCAATGCCGTGTGGGGCATCTATGTCCGATTGTTTGTGCTTGTTTGCTGAAGGATCCATTTCATTCGATCTTGGCAAATCTGTTTTCAACAGCACTGCCCTGACAACGGCTGTCAAAGATGGGCGCCGTCAAAAGTAACGATCCATGCTCGGTGCCGGCACCGGGAGGCGTTGAGACCCACTGCAAATCCAAGCAAGGCACAATCACATCAGCCAATCCAAATATTTCGATTCAGTTGGCAAACTGGCAAGCCCAACCAAGCATAGTGGCTCCGGCGGGAACGGGACGTCGCCGAGATCCCTTGTTCATTTGTTTGGAACATATTGCTAGAAAATCAGGCTTCCTGTTCCCTAAGTCTGAGGTAGATGTGCCAAAGGTGCTTCCTTTAAAAGGTCTTGCTTTTAAAGAACATCGCTTGCACGCAAGTTTGAAGAACGATATTTGAGGTGTCAATTCCTGCAATTTGGAACTGGATGTGCAACATGTGGCAATCAGCCAAAGCCACGCTGCCCCAAATTCAACTGCAGTTGGGGCTTGTGTGAGTGTTTGCTGTTTGGGCATGCCATTTGTCCTCTGCATTTGTCCAGGTTTCACATGGGAAGCAGTTTTTGTCCGAGTCGTACACACAGTCCGGGGCAACCTCAGCGTGCGAGAAGTGTTTGCTTGGAGCTCGGGCGCGTCCCGAGTCCCGAGCTGCGGTCTTGGTGCAGAGGCACAGGATGCCTTTCGTTTTTCCTTTATGTATCCTCCGCAGCCTGCGCTCTGGCCAGTTCGGCAAGCTGATTTAGTGCAAGCCCGGCCGCATGTATGTTTGGCCAACGTTGCAATCATAATGTTGCCGAACCAGTAGGCTACGGTGAACTAGTTGGGGCATGACTCAGATGCAGCAATTGAGCTGATTCCTTGGCAAGTATGTGAAGACGTTGTCATGGTCAACTGACGCAATAACTACCCACCGTGTTGTTTCGCACAAACCCCAAAACTTACTGGCCATTGAAATTCCGCGTGTTCAAAGTCGTTTCGCCTTTGCAGAGGCTGCTTTTTTGCAGTAAAGCCCTGCACCCTAACGCCGGCATTGCCCTGGGCCAAGTCAAGAAAGCGCTCTTGCGATATTATTCGAGGGACCAATCAAACACCGGGCTCCCAGAGATAAAGACCTCAAGCACGGCATGCACAAGGTACCTTTTTGTGGATTCAGCCCAGAAAGAACTTCCTTCTGACACGGAGCGCAACCGAATCGGAGGAGAGAAAGGCTGGGTGGTTGAAGCTCGGACCTAGCCTCGTGGCAAGTCTGAGGGCCTTGCCACGAGGGTCGAGGCGTGGCGTGGTATGCCAGGAGCCTTTGGCTCAATGCAGAGGTCACATAGCGTACCATGTCGAGATGTTTCGAGCCAACAGCTTCTGCTTTCTACTGCTCAGGGAATGAGGGAATGACCCTGGGGATTTCCTAAGGACACCATCGGGGATGGTTTATAGGGCTCATTCCATCTCTTATTCACTGCTCTTTTTGGCATGACTTTCGGCCACTCCGCTTTTGCACGAGAATGTTCCTACTTTACACGGCTTACAGCCCTTGAAAAATGCTGGCCAATCCGCTGCTTCAGCCAAGCAGTTGATAGGACTCGGGCCGATATTCCCAGGAACTAGCTCTGAGAAATACACGTATAGACTCATTGCTAGTTGTCTATCCTTGAATTCAGATTTGGATCATTGTGACATGATGTTTTGCAGTTGAATGTGTACATTAATATAGACATACACGTGTGTGTGTGTGTGTATGCGAAAATGCAATATATATATATATAACATGTGCAACGCATTATATATACATATAAATGTTTGTATATATATATATATCGACATATACCTGAACCTTCCTGTTGTACTGAAATTTCCGTCTGTGCCCAAAAATGTCCTTCAGCTGACTCTTTTGTGGGCCCACGGACGGAAATCAGCTTTGGAGACACTAAGGCAGTTTCGATGTTTATTCACAGCTACTTCGGGCAGTCAACGGCGCGCTTTGTTTCCGTTGCAAAAGGCTTTAATCAACTGCTTGGCCACAATTCCGCCAGTGTTTTTGAAATGCTGGCTCTTCAGACGCAGCTTTGGTACCATTCTGCAGCGATGCTTTGCGCCAACCGCAGCGCCAGGGTTCCAAAGCAAATCAAGCAAGCAGGGCCTCGCGTGTTGTTACCACAAATAACTGCATGTCCACACCTATTTGACTTCCCGATATCTTTTGGAAAGAAAATGTCCAAAGATATTGCTCCAGGCAAGAACCTAAGGCTTGAGGATTGAGTTGCTTCCGGAACACTTGTGGGCCGGCCACAGTACCCACAAACAACACTACTTCTGCGCATGGTTGAAAAGAAGGGCTGGGGCTGCAAGGACATTCGCCAGGATGCGCAAAAAGGGTGCAAGTTGGTTTGCCAACCTCTGCAAGAAACTCAACTGCCACCAAATATGTGGTTGTTTTGTGCCTGTCAGGCTTTGAGAGCCTGACAGACCTTCGCCCACCTTGTTTTCTTGCTACATGTTGCAAACAATGCCTGACTTGGGATGCGAAACGGACGGCAAACGGCGGGAAACGGACGGAACATGGCGGGAAACGGACGGAAAAACAAGGATTCCAAAAATGCATTGTGTCCATGGTTCTTGTCGTCGTTGGAACCTGGCTTTTGGGAAGCTATGCGCTGTGTGGAATGCTTGCTTTCTTACCCTTGTCTATGGGCAAGCTTCTCAGATAAAAAGTCCCTGGAGCTGTGTATCGGCCCCCTCGAAAGCTGCAGACTCAAAATTGCCAAACATTGCCAAACTATGTGCCTCCGACAAGAGTTTTGGAAAAGCATGTTCTTAGTTCTTACAAGGTCAACTCTTGCGGGGGCGTGCAACACACGTTTGTAGCGTGGTCTACAGGGACTACTGGGACTGGTGTTTGCGGTTGGCCCTTTGCAACAGCTTTGTCGCTTTCACTTTGTGTAATAAGCAGCTCCTTGTTGAAGCTCCGCTTGTTCTTACACACTTGTCATGTAGCTGCGAAGCAAAAGGGGATGCCGTTAGCGAAGCCGCAAGGCTTCTCACAAACATGCTTGCGGTAAAGGATAGTTCATTCTTAGAAAGTAAGGCCCCTTGCTCAAGAGCAAGTTTCAATCTCCAAGCAGCTGCAGGTAAGCCAGTTCTCAATGTTTCAGCCAAAGCATGCGGAAGCGGCGCAATATTTTTCGCTGTGTGGAATTACATCGGAATGACAAACTAAGACACAAGCATATTTTTGTTGCAACGAACACTTTTTCCGCGAAACAGACGGATTTAGGCGGAGTGTCCCAAAAAGAGTGCCCACGGAAGGTCCAGGTATACTTGTCACATGGGTCCCGGGTTGCGTGTTGAGGCCTGGCCTAAGACGTCTTCCAAGTCGCCGAGACCTGGCGTTTTCAAACCGAAACAAAGTAGCCCACCTGTAAGGACAAGTGAGCCCTGACCGTCTGACCGTGGCTGGGGCATGGGCTTGCCAGACATAAACCATCACGTACACGCACAAAACTTTCGGTTTTCTGAGCCCTTGGCCCTGCGATGTGTTTCAGGTTGTCTTCGCTTTTGCAAACAATGCGAAGCCTTTCGGTTTTGTTGTTTTCTGATGCCTACCAGTGTTTTTGTGGCGGATAAAGGTGCCCTGTCATGAATCCCATTGAGAGGGTTTCTTGACCGTGCCCAACTTCTCACTGGCCAATTTGAACTATTTGGCTCCCAACAACTTCCGGGCAAACCGTTTCGCTTCCCTTAGACTTGTGCATCCCTTAGCCCTGGGTGACCTGCGCTGCTTGGTGCCTGGCCCAAGTCGCGGAGCGACTCGCCAGGCTTTGACTGGCTGAAGCGCATGAGAGTTGCGCGCGCATGGCACAGCGCACTGGTAGTTGTTCTCATCTCACTTCCTGGGTTCAGGGACTTTATCCTTTTTGGGAAGACCGTGTTGGTGGTCAACAGTTTGGACTTTTTCTGGCCAATCCACTCAGGAAGCAAGTCATAGAGTTGTTGAATCATGTCCAGCTTGGGCTAAGAACTGGTAATTAAACTGGGCATACATCAGAGGTCGTCCCGGAGTAGGGATTGATCCAGTTTCGGGCAGTGGCACATGGTCTGAGTACGGTAAATCCCGGTGGGCATAGCTGCCACTCATTGCCCAGATGAGCACAACATGACAAACCATCAGAATACACCGGAAACTGCCAGACAATTCCAGACATCGCACGAAATGGCCTGGAACCACGGATTGCAGCCCACGGCCTCAGTGTGACGCCATGGGCGGGGTGAGCTCGTTGGGGCGTGCGCCGGGCATGGCCCGCCAGGTGACGCCAGGCGGAGACTCACTTTGGCGCGAAGCAGCTTCCAGTGTGTCAGCTTTCACTCACTTGCTTAAAGCCAACCTTTTGACCTTTTGGTTTCCCCTTTTTGGTCCATTTTTAGTCATGGCCCCAAAAGGTTAACCTTTTATTTCTGGGTCCTTTGGGCAACTGAGTTCAAGAGCATTGAAACCAACATGGCAATTATGACAAACATCCTAGGCACAGCCATGGTCAGATAAGGTCACGCATCTTGTATCCTGTGAGTGCAGATGTTGGAGATCCATGGCATGCGGCATGCGGTGTCAGCCGGTTAGTCAGCCACTTTGAGGCTGGTTCAAGGGCTCAGTTGCTCGGCTGGTCCAAGGGTAGGAGCTTGGCTGTCGTGGAGATTAGTCAGGGTTGGTCTTGGGTCCGTTTCAGAGCTGTTTTGTGTGTGCAGGATTGCTTCTGATTGGGTGTTGTGGAATTGTAAAGTCGATTGAGATCTGAATAATGCTGGATTTGGAGCTGGTTTGGCATACGTTTGTGGAAAGTAGTTGTCGGTGTTGCTGTCGGGATACTATCGGGGCGTCTCTGTTTGGTTGAGGGCGGCTCAAACGACAAAACCGCGCAACAGTCAGCCGAACGACAAACCCAAGAGCAATCAGCCCTCAGCAGACTCTAAATCCAAGCAAAGTATATAATCCCATGCGCAGTCTAAATCACCCAAAGCTACCTTGCGCCAAGCTCACGGCCATTCGACTCAACACCTTGCCTCGACTCAAGCCAACTGAGCCAGCCCCGAATGTGCAGTTTTGGTGTGACGAGTGCTTGACACAGGGCTGGGGGCTGGGAATGTAGGGCCACCCCCACATCTAGCCAACCTGAGCCAGGCAATTGTAGCAATCTTTCTGGTTTTTTAGGGTTGAGCGGCTTCCATTGAACCTACCAACAGTAAGACTTTTCGCAAGGGATCTGAGAACAGCCCAGTAATGCAGGTCACTAGCCTCAGGGAATATGAGGTGTTCAAGCCCACCAGGCCAAGACTTCGGCCTCTATCTCGAGGAGGGACTCCGGAAGATCCGGAAGGGGGTGGGGGGCATGCAAGTTTGCAAGGGAAACGGCCCGCTGAATGATGCTCTCAAGTGTTTGTCGGGCATATGAAAATGTACAAACAACACATGCTCCGCACCCAAAATCGTTCCGCAAACATGCCCGAAAGAGCCCGTGCCAGTAGTTGTTGGGACCCTTGAGGTGAAGATGATGCAATAGCCATGGCCAAAGGTCCAGATATGGAGGTAAAGGCAAGTTCAGCCAGTGATTTTGAGCTCGCCATAACTTGTAAGAACATTGTGAGATCTAAAGATCTATAAAGAGCTGTGGTAAGCCGTTTTTGATCAGGAAAAACCGCGTGAAGTGAAGGTTATGAGCCCAACCGCTCGATGATGGCCCGCAGATCCACCAATGGCAAGGGAGGTGGCACTTGCGAAGGTTCAGGAGCCACTGGAATGTCTGTTGCGAACGGTTGCAGTTTTCATCATGTTTGTAGCCTTTACCCAAAGCCATCCGCACTGGGAACTCCAAGGTCCACACACCCGCAAACACCACCTTCAAGCACAAACTTGTTGTTTTGTCGTCGCTGCCTCAATCGGGGGTTGGATGTAGGTACCCTTGTTGTTGTGCCTTCCTGGGTCGCGAATGGACAGTTCCTGACCCCATCCCTTCATTTTACATGAACAAAGACTCGGCCCCTTGCGGGTTTGCCTTCTGAGGCTCGTAAATCAAAGGTGCCCCTCCACCGCCTCTACCGCCTCCAGTTACCAGTTCTCAAAAACGGCTTTTGCGCGGGGGCGAAGCAAACGAAGCGAGGACCAGGGCATTTGGCTGCTGAGTGCCAAGACCTTGGTGGAGTCCCAGCTGCGTCCGCACGAGGAGATGCTCGCGCGAGGCGAGCTGATACGTTGGACGCCCCTTGGCCTTCGGTTCATGGAACATATCGCCTGGGTACAGCCCATGGAAGAAAGCATCGGTTTTTCGTTAGTCGCGAGTATGTCTGCTTCGCCAGTGTGCCTCTAGAAGTGTTGCCCCGGCTCTGACTTGCGCCCAAGCATCACTTGTGCCTGTGCGCGCTGCATGTGAAACCCGGACGGCTTCAACTTGCCGGGCCAAGGGCGAAACGAGCTGAGGCCAAGCCACCCGCGCAAAGTGGTGCTGATCTCGCACCAGTGGGCCGGCGCCAGCCATCCAGATCCTCACTTGAGGCAACTTAAGGCGGGGATGAACCTCCAAGCCACTGGTTTGGTGTTCCCGTCTGCGTGAGAACGGACCTTCAAGTTGTCAAGCACTGGTATTTTAAGCCGAACGCTTTCGGATCCTGCAAAAGCGATCATGCCCTTTCGGGATGCAGCATCCAAATTAAATTCGCAAATGAAGGAGGTGCCTTGCGGCCATGTTGCTCAACCCAATACCCAGAGCTAAGTCTAGCGCCTTCTTGCTCGGGTGCAACGTGACAGAAAATATATGTGCCACAACATGAATGGGATCAGGGAATAGGAAACCAACACCAAAATTAATCCGAGTCTCTGGTTTGGCCTTAGCTTATGAGTTGCATGAGAACTGTGTGTGCGTGTTGTTCTGCTCAGGGGGAGCGCGGAGTTACTTCTGTCTCAGTGATTCTAGTGTCATCAATCGTGCTTGAATGTCATTGGCGCTATGGTGGCTCTCAGAAGCAAGTTGAAGCACGTGTCATTGCTACCGCAGACTGTGATGGCGGAATATAGTCACAAACAGCGACTTCCACCTTGAAATTTCGAAACTGAAGCAATGCGACCCCATTTGGAAAAGTTGCAAGCTTCTGAGACCCCTCAAGACCACATTCATGGTTTTGTTTTCCCCGAGGAATATGGTTTAGCTTGAGGAAGCCATGTGAACCACTGCAGCCAAGTTGCTTCCGCTACAAATACCAATGCAGATGTTGCAAGCTGCATGTCAAGCGAGGGACTTCTGTTTTTTTTTTGAGCACCCCTGATTTGGATTTTTGCCCGTTTGACACAACCCAACGAGCAAATGTTCGGTGTGGCCGCGCTTGAGCTGAGGTTTTACAAAAGCTGCTGCGGCACATGGCCTCTGGCAACGTCGTGGTGGGGGATTCCCAGGCGCGGGACCTCTCCGCGCAGGAGGAGTGTTTTTCGGGGATCTTGCTCGCAAAATCTGTTAACCTGGTCATACATGCTGATGTTAGGCTTATCCAGCGCTCCAATTGCTGTCCCCATGGAGCTGTGATGATTGACTCACGATGATGTAATCGTTTGCTGAATGGCATGTGCTCGAGTGCACGATGGACATGTTATAAGCTGGTCATCCTGGCTTTGTGTACTTCATATGTCAATTCGCGGATATGAGTTTCACGCATGGTAGAAGTTCATGACTAGAACTTGGTCATGCTTCACAGATATCAGATCGTTGGGGCATCGTTTGCGCCTCTGCTGATGTTCTGCTGTTTGCTTGCTCGCTGCCCTGGTCCCAGAATGTTTGCAAGTGCGTGTCAAGGGTATTCTCCCATCTGCTTCAGACGCATGTCCTGGATTTAGCCGCCCGTTGCCTACAGCTTGTCATGGTTTGCCATCTCCTTTCCATGCACAGCATGTGTGTTCGTAGCAATAATTCTGTATCTTGATGGCTTTGGGCAAGCCGCTCGTGCTTTCCTTTCAACACGCATTTTGCTGGTTCCTCCATGCAAAAGGGTCAATAACATGCTGAATGTGTCCAGCCGCTTTGCGATTCCTGACTTTGATCCCTGCAAGTGTGTATACATATATATATATACATATTCATGACGTGCTCAATGCAGCAATGCTGAGTGAGCACACTAAGAATTCTAGAAGGTTTGCTGAACGTCGTGCGCCGCGATGCAAGTTTTTCAATCCTGGACCTTTTTGTGTTTCCTGCCCGTTGAAGCACAGGCCACAGAGCCATCCAGAGAGCAGCAGCGGCAGTGCATGGACTGGGACTTTTGGTACGACTTCTGCAGCATGCCGCAGGCCGGTTTTTGAGTTTCTTGCATGCCGCGCTTTGTACCGATGTGACAAGTAAAACACGCTCCTGAAACTGCATGATGGCAAACTTGGAAGGTGCGCGTTTTTTTTTTTTTGTGTGTTTTTCTTCGGCATGCGAAGCTCTCACAGCTTCTGAAGAAACGCCTGCACCAGTGCGTTTCTTCGGGAGTCAGGGGCTGGACATCCGGATCCCAGAGCCCACCCCCCACGGAACCAATCAGCCCAGCACATCCAAACACAAAAAGCACAAAAGCACATTTGCAGATTAAGGTTCCGAGATATCGCTCGTGAACATTTCATTTTTGGGGTCCCTGCCTGAAAGGCATCGTGCCACTAGCATTCTCAGGATCAGCCGGCGTACGACAGTGTGCAAGCACTCCAAGCAGCAGACTACGTCATGATCCTGGCGCCGAACATGAAGCACGTGCCACGGCTGCAAACCCGGAGGTCATATCGCCATGAACTCGTCAACTGTAAGAGTTGAAGTACCGCCTCAGGTTAAGGCGCAGGGGCGCTAATTATCCCTGCGACTGTTTCCTAGGTTTTACACGGGTGGCGTGACAAGGGTTTTAGATCGAGGATTCGCTTGACCGCTGATGTGGTAGACGCATTCCCAGCATCTTGCAACTGGAGGGAAGGCAAAGTGCATTGGAGGCGCACCCAACAGCACAGTCATTCTTGAGCCTGGAGTCTGTGCCCATGCCATGAGGGCATGACTTGTTGGCTGCTTGCTTGCGTTTGCACGCTGGTTTTCCTGGTTTTTCCCTGTCTATGAAGGGGCGCATGCCCATCGTTTCATCGGGGCTTGACGAAGTCCCTGGGTCCGGCCAGGCCACCGGAACCGTGATGAATCTCTCCTCCTACATCAACCGCGGCTGGCCGGGGCCCAAGGACTTCATTGAAGGTCCGTTGAAGCGCGCCAGGCCCAAAGGGAATGGCATCACGCTGGAGTGGCTCAATGGTTATCCTTCATTCTTGAAATGCTACATGCAATGAGTCGCAGGTACATGTTATCCCAAGTTCCGTGAATCCTTCCAGAATCCCAGGCATCCTTTTCGGGGCACTGAGCCAGTCTGAGGTGCCGCTTAGAGCATTTCGGGGCCCAGCTCCTGCAAAAGCCCGTGCTGGCCGCAGTGGGGCCCAAGAGCATTTTCGCCCTGCGCAGCCAGGCCTCGTGCTTGCGCTTGCTGAGCCCGTGCGGCATGGGGGGTTGGATGGGGCTGTGACACTCGGCTTGAGGGATCCGGTGATTAATGGCATGCGCATTGGAAAGGCCCTCGGTTGGAATGCCAAAGGGTAAACACAGCGACCAATGTTGCATGGGCTTTTCAAACGTACTGCCGCGAAAGGCTGGCAATTGGGATACTTTGAGGCACCTTTGCTGTTGGGGAATCGCCTCGTCAGCAGACGCCGATGGCTGGCAAGCACAAAACGCACATATCCATGGCATAGCCTTTGCAGTGCCCCGTATAGTTATAATACAGCTATCAACGTCACACCCAAGAGGCGGTAGGTAGGGAAACCACCAAACACTTTCAGACTTTGACAACCCCAGGTATACAGGTCAAGGGTCATGACCCGAGCTAGCTTGTCGCATTGGGTCTCCATTCATTAACAATAACGCGCATACAAACGATACGTTCAGGTTTCGCAACTCTAACCACAGTTTGTCACTTCAACTATCTTTAACTGCTGTGCGCAGTGTATGTTTGGTTGGACTGATGAGGGAGTATCCTGTATGTTGTAATTCCGCTTGTCCGACTTCATGATGATGCTTGTGCAAGTTGGACTGAACCCCTTACGCCGTCACCTGAGCTTTGATTGCCAATGATGTGATTCCATCCTTGTTGACAGAGGCCGCTTTGTAAATTGCTATGGAGAGGATATGTCCTTTGTACCTGGGTGATCCTTGATTTGAGGACGGATTTTGCCAAGTGGCTGCTGTCAATACTAGGTATCTCGAAAATGGTTGATTTTGTATGTGTTTCTCTGCACGCCGTCCCACAATTGGTCTGGTTTGTTTTGACAGACATTTCTTCGCCTTTTTGGTCTATGCGGGTACCACTAAGCTCGCATTCACGGCAGATCGCCGCGTTGTTCGTTTTGGAGGCTTGGCTGCTGCAGTGGCCTTGGAAGGGCCAGTTCACCTTCAACACTGACCAGGAGCATTGCGCATCGTTTTTCGAGCGTCCGCGCGCCTGGGCATTTGTTGTTTGGGAAGATCCGAGTGCGCGCAAATTCTCAACTGCAGCCGCCTGTGATCACAATGAAGGCTTGCGAAGACAAGCAGAGTTCAAGTAGAAGTGCTAAACCTTGCTGAGATGGTTGGCTGCTTGTAAGGAGACATATCCTGCATTTGATTCGAAGAAACACACACACACACACACACACACACACACACACACACACACACACACACACATTACACCTTTTCAGGCATGTCCCTTGCCGTATTTTCCACATGTTGCCCCGGGCTCAGCAGGGTGGGTTCTTAATATGTGGCTAGGAAAGGAGCTCCCGCCGGCAGCTCCCGCCGCGAGCTTTTTGGCGACTTAATGCCTGAAGGCACCCCACGGTCCTTTGTTTCCATAAAACCATCGGGGAAGTTCTCGTTGATTCACTGTGGGAGGTGCCCCTACCTGAAGTGAGGTGGATGGGGATACTATGGGAGACACCCCTTTGCAATCAGGTAAACCAGCGGGACGGCGCGCAGCGCTTTTGGGCCAGACCTTCTACTGGCGCCCTGAGGGACAGTTGAGCCACAATCAAAACCCGGGTGTATGAAGGTGAGTAAGGGAGAATCCCAACCATAAATAGCTGCGGCCGCCTTCTTAATTCTTCACATGGTTGTGGGTAGATCATTTTTGTACCGGGTTTTGATTATGACTCAGTTGGGTTTTGGCAGTGAAAGGCAGCTCGCATGTTTGCCTGACCAAATGGTGGAGCTTCCAGACTAAACGGGAGCCCCTCACCATTGATTGCCCCCCCCAATTTGTTTTTTTACATGTGTATATATATATATGCTCACCCCCCCATGATCTACATTACCAACTTCAAAAAAGCTGTAAATATAATAAAAACACTAGGTACAAATTCAGTTGTTTATTAGGATTGGACAGACATGTAGATCATGGGGAGGGGGGGTGACAACATATATATATATATATATGTATTGGCATTTGGTGGTAAAATCAAACTGCAACACTTCCTACCAACAGCGAAGCATCGATTTGTTCGGCGAACTCCAATGCTTGACACTCCGTGGCTTCAGGGTCCGGGGTATCATTGGGAGAGTGATTTTATGAGTGTGAAGCTTATATTAATCATAAGCCAAGACACCTGCAATGTACAATTCACAAACAGACAATATGTCGGCGTTCCACAGTGATTTGAACTCCTATTTTGATTCAAGTTAGACCAGGCAATTGTGTTGGAGTCCAAACCGACATGAGGATTTGTGTTTACAGAGACACCAGGAGCACGTGTGGGTCATTGCCAAGAAGCTCCTGAATGATCGGCGCAGAGCTGTGGTCGCCACAGATCTGGAGACCTGGGGGGGGGGGGCGGCAAGGTTGAAGTGGGTTTTGACAAGCTTCCATGGATGAAACGGATATTTGTATTCGGATGCGGGATGCTGCTCATAGTCGGACGAATTCGGTTTGGAGGAAACGAGCCACTGGAATGTTCTACAGGGACTCGGTGCTGCAACAAGTTGCTGACTCGCTGGTATTCTGACCGCATTTTCCCAGCTTTTGAGCATTTCAGGTTGCACAAATTGAATTGGCGGGCACATGTCTTTTGAGTAACAGGTTTGACACGTGTTGTGCAGTTGGTTGCGGCTTTATTGTAGTTGCATGATACGGCTCTAGCCAACCAGGGTACAGTACAAGGGCAGTAAACACACAAAGGAGGATATGAGGGGACTTGCGGCACTTGCAGTTTACATATATGCCAGTGTAGTCATAGTCTAGCCCTGTACATGCAAGCATATATATATACTTTATACATGTAGTGTTTGATGACAAGAGCGCAAGTTACATGCCATGCATGCATGTGCACCACAGCACACTGTGTTGTTCAGACACTACACATTGTCCAGATCTTCCGAGTATTGAACCAGCATTGGAATATGCGTGTGTGCTTGTTGAGTAGGTTTGTGTTCAAAGCTCCTTGCGTGCACATTGTGTGTTTTATGCCCATAATACTCTGACGCTTGAAGACTCGTGTTTGTCTTGCAGCTGGCAAGCTCGACGAAAAGCCGTCCTTCGCTTCAGGTGTCCCACAGGCAATGTTGCATTTGGGGTCGCGCTTCTGCCGAAGCTTTGTTCAATAGCTTTCTAGAACTTAGCTCCTTTGTGCCAGCGTTGCTAGTCCTGTGGAAACACCTGGACTTCACACATGCATGAAGTGCGTGCATCCCTTGCAAACAGCATGTTTCTGTCGGGATTGACAATGTGGTCGCCACTCTCAAGAGCTGCCTGGCCCCAACACACTACATAGTGTGTATATAAAAAAACACATCATAACGTGAATCGATATTGTTGTCACGTTCGAGGTTGAGTAGTATGGCTATTCACTTTCATCCGTGTGAAGAGGTTCCAGGCAGCCAATTTCGTAAAACAGGGAGTTTGGGCCTTTTCAAAGACGTCAGGCCAGGCGCTTCGAGAGATCGAGAGATGCTCTTTGAACCCATGAGGACAGCTGGCGCTTTCTGACCGCCATCCGGAACAGGCCAGGTCGTTTGTGCCGCGTTTGAGCCGTGCGACATCTGCGGCAGGGCTTTCCTCTTGGCGCAAATCCAACCATATTGATATGGCAATTGTTTATTATGCAAGGAATAGAAACCCTTTTGGTGCTGGAAGAATATCAGTTTGGTCGGCATTCTTGAAAACCAGCAATATGTTTTTAGTGCCTCTTACATTGTTGCATGTGTTTGGTATGTTGTAAATAGGATTGCTACTAATATCTAGGTGGGACTTTCTCTTCTCATAGGTTGTATGCTCAACGCATTTTGGAAGCCGCAGGCTGCAGTCAATATCCAGGAAGCATTGAATCACCCTGCACCGCGAGCTGCCTTGTTGGTTGATCTCTTTCAATCGAGTCAACCCGATTGGCGCCTTTGGTTCTTGCACCGAATTTCTTGTGTCATTTGCATGAAAGGCCTCTGTCACTACAAGGCTGTGGCTCAGAATCCTAAAAGTTAAAACGATGTTCGTTCCCCGCTCCAATGGCTGTTGAAGCTCCCCATCTTGTTTGCGCTTCGGGGGGAATTCAACGCTCCGCGAAGGCACTTGAGCCGCGAAGGCTCGCGAATCCGCTCGCGAAGGCTCAGGTTGACAGGCGAAACCGCTTCGCGAAGGTTAGCTAAAAGTAAGTCGCGTGCTAAACACACGTCCGCAAGGCCGTGCCGACAAGCCACCGTCGTCTCGCGGTTTGCCTCGCGAGGGCAGCCCTTCTGGGGTCGGGTTCTTGCCCCTCGAAGAACCCATCGTGGGCTCCCTAGCAAGCCCCGAACCAACAAATCACTGTGATAAACACACGGCGCAAAGAGAGGCTTCTCTTGCCCCCGGGATTAGGAGGCGCAGGGCATTCCATATGGGATGCATCAGATGGTACCGCTCCACGCGTCAAGCTTGGAGACAAACAAACCGGAGTGGAAGTACTAACATTGTTTTGGTGTGCAGCAGAAGGCCAGGCGTGACTGCGCAGTGAGCAAATGCCAATCTGTCAGCAGGCCATTTGGAGAAGTTTGCAACCAGCTCTGACATTGACTGCTTTTCTTTTGGCAACGAGAGCTGGTTTGCGGTCCCCAGTTGTTAGGTGCTTGATGGTTCGGAGGTTGGTTGGTTGGTCCTTCCAACTGCAGAAGCTCAAGACGTGTTTCTCAACAATGGGACATTTTGTGAAGCGCACGTGCAGGATGCAGCAGCTGGCAGCTGACAGGAGGGGCAAAAGGCAATAGTTGGGTGTCAAAAGCAGAACACCTGAGGACATGGAACTTAAGCTTGATACACAGCTTGAAGTCAACTTGTAGCAGACTAGATCGAGCTTTAACAGGGGACCCCCTAAAAGTGTCTAGCACATGGGCGTTAGCTGCGAACTTGAATCCAGTCAAGCAGCAATCCTTTGAGAAAGGTGTGTGGGACGAGATATCTCATAAGTTCGTTCCGCGAAAGGTTATCTGGATAGGATGGCTTCGTGCGTTTGAAGCACTGCTGGCGTTTCTTCGGGCAATGCACAAAGCTAGCTGCTGGGACCCTGTCACGTGAAAAAATTGGGCGCTTTCAACACGGAGGCCCTAGCGCGTCAGCCTTGATGCCATTGAATTCACTGTTCTTGGCAGGTTTTTAGTTTTTTAGATTATTGGTTCTGTTCATTTTTACTGGGGGTCAAAAAAAACAAAGGTTTTTGCTACAATACCAAGAGTAGAGATGATTGGATTTTGCAGTGTCTTGAGACGAAGCGAGGACCGTGAACCAAAATGTACAAGTTCGCTTTGTGTTTGAATCAGGGAGGCATTTTTTTTCCGCGGCCTCGTGAAGGGATGTCACCACTTTTGAGAATGCCTAAACCTAGCGCGCTTCCATGACTACTGCAAATTCTGCTCCCTAATTACTATTTCTGATTGACGCCTATCTCACAACTTCTGATGAAGCTGCTCTCTTCGACATCGCAATCCTGCAAAATCATTTCGTCGCTGATGTGGATCAAGCCTGCCTGCTGATGCCTCGTCTAGGACCGTGGACGACCTGTTTCATCGGTATCGACTGGAATCGGCCGAGGTGCGGCCGGGTGGGAATTAATCACATCGTGTTGTTTTTGGTTGTGAGTGCCTACAGAATATCTAGGGCATAGTTCATTTGCAGTGTCAACCACTGGTTGCAGAGCCAGCGTCAGTTTAGTGTTCGAGGCGTGGGAACGTTAGGTTCTAAACGTTATCACTGTTCTTGGTCTTGGAGTCTCAACCATCGCAACATGGTGCATTTGGACAGGCTTTCTTCTTCAGCATCATGCTGGCGTTTGCATGAACCATTTATCTTTACGGTTCAAGCATGTCCAATTCTACTTAAATCTACACTTTAAACTGATGCAGTAAATCAGGTCATGATTCTCGGGCCATACGGGTTCACAAGTCTTGGCATCCAAAGAGCGGATACTCGCTTGCTTGTGTTTGAGGGTACCTGAACTCTCAAGATTCCCTTAAACATGGGTGATCACAACCCAACCTTATGGGGGCAACAACCCAATTATGTGGGTAGTTTGGGTTCAAGTCGCGTTTTTTGGCGACCAAGGCCAAAAAATGTGCCAGGACAGCGCCTACAGCCCGCTGATGCTGGCATGCATCGAGGGCAACTGCCAGGACGTGCAGCTGGTGCTCGAGAGCCAGGTGACCGAACTCGGTTCGGTCGAAGCAATTTTCAATGTCATGGTTGGTGGTTGCATATGGTATATTAATATATACATATATGTAAGATAAGTCAAATGTGTATCTCTATATATATATATATACATACTTGTGTTTACATATATATTTCAGGCGCCTTTCCAGTCGGCTGGTTTACTTGAAGGCTTGAACAGTTCCCATTGAAAACCATTTAAAAAGGGCACCCAGCTTGAGGGCACCCGAAATTGCCCTGTTTTTTGTTGGTCTCCCGTGGAATTCTGAAAGCAGAGCCTTTCCTCAAACACGACCTTGGGGGAAGCCCAAATAAGGAAACACCAAAACAGAGGTCTCACACCTTCCGATGTTTGTTGACACAAGGAGTTGTGTTCCCCATTTGGTCGACACATGTCACTCCCAAATCAAGCAAGCCCGGTCCAAAACTCGTCTTGGCTCGCCCCAAATTTGTCACATCCCCAATGGGCAGCAGCGTGGCGGGCGCCCGGCCTGTTACGACTTGGGTGTTCGATTCGCCAAGTTAGTAGGTTGTTGTTGACCTAGATTATATCCTACTTACGGGGTCGGCCCAGTCAGTTGGTTGTAACCAAGGTGGCTCACCACTTACTAACTGGGCGAATCGCACACCCAAGTAGGCGCCACCGAAAACATACATCAAAGAGTCTCAGATAGCATGTTTTGGCGAACAGACCGCTACTGGGATGCACTGGGCAGAAAGGCATGTGTGACACTGTGTTCTCAATCGTCAAAGCGACAAACTAAGGATGGCCACATCCCGGAATGAACTTTGTTCACAAGCAGAGTCAGAAGGATGGAACACATCACAGGCACCAACCAACCAAGCACTCAAAGATACAACAAGCCAATCCAGCAAAGAAACAGCCAATAAAAAACAAAGAAAGACACAACACAGGACCACCTATCTCTTCACAAAAGTCCTTTGCAGGCAGACATCAACGAGCAGCGGGTTTTGCCTGTGCCCAGCGGGGCTCATACGGCGCTGTCGCTGAGCGCAGCTCTCGGCACAGATCCGGTGGTGCGATGCTTACTGGACCAGCGAGCTGCCCCCAACGAGGCCGGGGGCCGAAGGACGCAACCGCGGCGGCGTCCGAGCCATTTTTTATTTTTGGAACCTTCAGAAGTGGCAGTTTCAAGGGAAAGGACCAGTGAATTGAGCACCTGTTGAAGGTGTTTCCTAGATGACACCATGTGCGGCAATCTCGCTTTTGGGGTTGGACACGCTAAAATGGCTTCGGTTTCCCTTTTGGTTTTCCTTCGAACCGTTCTCGCACGGCGGGCAAAGCGTGTGGCTTTAAAACCATGAAAAGGGGGGGTACTGTACCCTCAAAAAAGACAGGACGCAAATCATTTTTTGGCTTTCCCCTTGGTTTTCCTTCCCCCCCCCCCGTCCCACCCCAACCAAAGAAAATTTGTTCCGGACCAAAACAAATTTTCAAAGTGGTATAACCACTGGGCCACGTAAGTCAAAGGAGTTCTTCCCTTACGGATTGTTGTCGAAATGCTGTGCGGGGTGTTTGGGAGGTAGCCCCTTTATTACAGTAGTTTCTCGAAGTTGATCAAGGGAGATCCTTACACCACAGAGCGCTTGAACAGCGCATCGAGCAACTCCAACTGGTGTGTCAGGACCTTGCAGTGCCGGGTTAGACCAGGGCGTGTGATGCTCACTTGTCCTTCTTGTGTTGCTTGTTTCACATACTTTAGACGCATCAAGTTCTCAAGGTACGCATGGTACGCGTTATACATAAGTGCATTCCAAAGTGCCAGCGGTTTTATATAAAGCAACACCAAACCTGGCATTTGTAAGCGGCATCAAGTGTGCCAGGAATCTGAGTCATGCTGGGTTGGGAAGCAGCAAGTACTTTTACATTCTATCAACATAGAACAGCCTACCCAGTGGATGCATCCAGAAAACAAGCCTAAATCCGGGGGTGCGGGGGGGCCTAGAATGTTGGGCCCTATGTTGCTGGTTGTTTGAGGGGACAACACAAGGAAACCGACCCTTTCGTGGACACGCCCGTGTTACATGTGACTACATTTGTTTGAGTGTTATTACACATCACAAGAGACTCAAATGCCGCAAGGCTTGTTCTGTTCCTTGTCGGCACCCATGACTGCTTGTCACCAAGTTCACTGGAACTTGCTTGTTTTGTTTACTTCCCAAGGAATTTTCACTTGGAGGTGGTTTAGATGTTGGGAATCCTTGCCGGCATTTCATGTGCTTTTCTTGTTGCTCAGGCACCGCTGTCGGCATCGGCTGAGTTTGTGAATCACGAGACGCTGCCTTTGGTGGCCGACTTGGTGCAGCCAGGAGACCCTCTCAGATTCCCTGGTGTCAGGATCTTCAAATGTTTGAGCCCCTCTCTTGGCGGCACTAAGCCTAGAGTCGCCAGGGTCCAAACAGGGCGAATCCCAGCGAATTGGGCCATAAGTTGCCTTCACCCCTTGGCTGTGGTGCATGCATGAAACCATTTATGGCAGGAGAGACCCCTGTGTTCACTGCCATACTGACTCATGTTACTACAACGGCCGCTTTGCTGCAGCACGGACCGCCGCCTTTGATCTACATTTCGACCTGGGCATGAGAATGGGGGACGCCCAGAAGCCTGGGGAGTCATGTTTCCCAACGGTCCACGAGTAAGCCGCACAAGAGCCGCATGTTGCAATCATTGACTCGGCAGCATTGACCGGACTTGGTTTTGTTGATTCGGCAGCAAGAGAGTAGTTGAGTGAGCTTAGTGGCGTGACATGTCAGGGTACTCCATGGATGCAGGCTTGCAAGGCAGTTGTTGGATCTAGTCCGTGTAGCCCCTCGAATGGACACCGCTCCAGCAAATCTCATCGGAGGCACCGGGGGGCTTATGTTTTTTTTTTTTTTTTTGTGATTCGCCTCCCAAGAAAGCGCTTCCAATTTTCGAAGCTCTGATCCCTTCAGAGGATGACTGATTCCCTGAATCGTAGTCCGGGCAACAGGATTGAACTCTGGCAGTTCGGACAAGGCTTGACGCACTTGCACCAGCCTGAAGAACCAGCCAGGTGTGTCTAAGTGTATACCTAGAACTTCCTGCGGCGCAAATATCTGCCGCAACGCATTGCGGCGGAAATTCCCGCCGCATTCCAGAAAATCTGCCGTAAACAACTAAACGCCGCAACCAAAACAAAAACGCCGCAACGCCGTTTGCTTTCCGGGAATTTCCGCCGCATTCCCGCCGATTTCCGCCGCATTCCCTCTGATTTCCGCCGCAAATCGGGGGTAGAAAAAACTTAAAACAAGTTCTGCCGCAATTCTAAAAAAACGCAAATCAGGCAGAAATGCCGCAAATCCAAAAAGGCGCCTTTTTTGATTTGCGGCATAAATTTCTGCCGCAGCGAATAACTAGGTATGTGCGTGTGTGTTTAAATCGGATTCGCGGATGCTTCGCGAGGTGACGCAGGCTGAAAGGTAGGGTACCCGAGATGGCTACGCACATGGAACTCCAAAGACTACACAAGGCTGTGAGGTGAGTGACAGGTCAGCTATGCATGAATCTGCAGAATGCATGGCGAGCTCTCCGATTCCGGGGCATGGTCAAGATCCGTTCCTGGGGGATCCCTTATTTCAGGTTTTGGACATATTGCAAAATTTGAAGAATCAACTGTGGGGCTGATCCATGAAAGGCTTTGAGATCTCCCGGATCTGGGATTCCGGTCTGACTCCCTTTTGGTGAAACTATCGGCACAAAAGGAAGGCTCCCTTCGCCGAGCGTTTCCACCAAGATGTCCCAACCAAGCGCTGCTATGTATGTATGTGCTATGAAAAACAAAAAATAAATATGGTTCTCAGGATATCTGGATAAGAATGCTTATCTCTACATAAGGAACTGTGTTGCTAGCTTTTGAATCGAAAGGCTCCAACGCCTCACCGTGTAGTAGGTGAATAGATGTGGAAGAGGGAACCAAGCATCTACCCCATCCATGAGACGGGTTAATTCTAAAGTGCTGGTCTAACATCACCTTGAGCCAAGTCTAACCATTCACAATGTTCCTGTCTCGAGCACCCAGTTTTGGGCTTCCCTTTCAACGGCTCCTGATGTGACACTTCCAGCTCCGGAAACGCTTAGGTTGACACGCTGCTGCATCTCAAAGGTGATCCCTCAGAGTACTGCAGCTGTGAGCTGCTTGGAAGCGTTGGAAGCCACTTAGGCGCTTGCAGTTTTCCACCAAGAAGGTCATGATTGATACTGGCTGGACGAAATCCTGCACCACGAAGGAATCCATGAGAGATCATTGTTTGTTGGTATTTACAAGGAAGTGACCACCAATCCAGAATTACCGTGTGCACCTTTGAGCTACTTTGAACGGCGGACTGACTGTGAGGTTCCGTGTGCGCCTGGGGCGCCGCCGGGAGCCGTGGCCTCCATCCCCCGCATCTGCGCGCTCCGCGCCAGCGCCCGCATCGCCGGCGTGGCAGCCCTTTGAGACCCCCGGTGCCTCAGCTTCCGGGATCTCTCGCGATGGTTAGCTTCAAGGAATGGAGTCCCCCAGCTCAAGGTTTTTCTGAAAGCAAATGTGGCTGGCCCGGAAAAAGAAAGTTAGTCTTTCTTGTAGATCCGTTCGAATAGCAATGCAGAGCAGTTGCCCACATGCAATGTGGAGGATCTTTAATTAGCAAAGCTGGTGGGCTGAGCAAATGCCATAGTGTTGCTTCGGGAGAATGTCAGTCTACAAACCAGGTTGCACACTCGAAGCATGCTTGGCGGACTTTGCCTTGCTATGCAGTCGTGAACTGGCGGAAGGAGGGAAGGATGGGACTTCCTTACGACAAGGCGTTCATGCTGTTGTGCTGATTGCAGAGTGTCAGATTGAAATTGGTAGTGAGCCAACATGAGAGGTGACCCCATTCAGCCGGTTTTCAAGGACAAGGAAGCCAATCACTTGGACAAGGGCTTATTGACCCACACGAGCAGGACCGTTGCCAGCCAGGAATCCGGTTCGGGACATGTGCCCTCCGAAGCGGAGCGCGCGGAGCATTCGCGGAGCGTTTTTTTCGCCGCCCCCGAGGCCCAGGAAGCCGACTCCGGAGGACGGGGTTTGGTCTGACGTCGAATGAGAGCGGTCAACAGATTGCCAAGGGGCCAGGCTGGACTGTGGCATGGCATGCTAGCGACGGCCAACATGAAGGAAGCAGACTCAAGAGACTCAAGAGACCACAAACAAAGCTGTGGCCACGGACGTTTCGAACCACTCGTTGAGATGCAATGCAGGACCGGACAAGTTGCTTGAATTGCACTTGACTGAAGGTCGCGTAGCTTATCCAGACAAGTAAATGGAGAGCGGATTTGAGGAATTTCCGCAAGTGAACGGAAGACCGTAGTTTGTCCAGCCTGCCTCCACAACTTCCAATATGTTGTCCGTTTTTTTTGGGGGGGATGCATCTACGTATTTTTTTTTGTGTGGTTTATTCTCCCCAAATATGGCTTGTTATCTTTGAAGTTGCATTGTTTCGCCCCTCAGCAAAAAGCAACTCCGTAATCCGGCCTGGCATGCTCCTTCCATGCCCCTTTAGCCTCTGTGAGCAACATGGCGGGGCACTGCTGATCAATAGAAGCGCGACCTGCGGCTGAAACGTCATTTTGACCTACAGCGCCCGGAGCATTTGTTTTTGCGAACTCACTGCAAACCTTGGGGATCTCAAACCTGGCTGCAGGTTTCCCGGATAAAACGCGGCCTCCCAGTATTTGGATCCCTGGGACGTCGGCCGTCCAGCGATCGGCTCGGAGGCGCTCGGTCCGTCGGAGGCGCTCGCTGGACTCCCAAGCCTCGACGCCGAGATCGGAGAGAGGCCGAGCGAACCAGCTGAAGCGGATCTTCGAGGAGTCATCGAATCGGGATCCCGCGGTGCGAGTCGACGAATCCGTGGAAATGGCATTCATCGCATTCATCGCAGCACTTGCTGCAAGGTCTCTGGATGGACGATGTTTGAGCAAGATTGGTTTCGTTGATCCTCAGCTTTCGACCTCAAGTGGTGTTGATTGCCGTACTAGTAGCAAGTGAAGAAGGCAGTCAACAGGATGAATTACTTCAGTTGTTCAAATCGGGATGGATTGGCGGAGCTGTTTGCTTTCGCCCACCGCCTATCGATTCTCCACACCGTCTCTCATCCTCTTGTCTCTTCCTTCCTCTCTACAAGGTAAGACCAGAGGAAAGCGAGACTCATACTCAACAAGCAAGACAAAGGTAGGCGTTCATCCACTATGTTGCTCCGGAAAAGGGGAGGGCATGGAGGGCACAGCATCAACAGCCCCCGCACAAGCTTGCTTGGAGCGAAGGTTGAAGGTCTTCCTTTTGAGCGGACTGGCTTGTAGCTCGGCTCTGGCAGATGTCGACGCCATGCGTCAGTTCGTATCAGCGTGGTGCAAGATGCTACGCCCCATTCCATGATTGTTTGCTGCGATATACGGTGCGAATGTTGTTGTCTTTGTTGTGCGTTCGAGGCTCAAGTTTCCCCCTCTGCCCTAATTTGTTGTTGAAGGGTCGCCGGCCTTCGGACGTGCATCACGCCTAAATTATAAGGGCGTGCTTGGCTGCGAAGAAAAAACAGCAATTGAACCAAGCATTCCATAGACTGAAGAAGCAACGAGGAAAAGCTCAGGGTTGCTTGTTTCAGGTGAACTAGAAAGGGCTGCATGTTCCTCCTCTTGTTCAAGGCAGTGTGTGCGGTTTCATGAGGTGCTTCAACAATCATCTGTCATTGTGGTAAAACCGGTTTTTAGGGACGCACCGTTTACTCTGACCTAAATGTCTAGGTAGCTTCATGTTGTGCCGACGGAGGAGTTTTCTTCGCGCTCAGAAAAACTCAGGAGTGCGATGCGCCTGGGCGATACAGCAGTCAGATATTTCCTATGTCTGGGTGTGTACAAGCAAAGAGCAATGACCCGGGGATGGTTTGGCTGCAAAACACACAGTGGCTGAAGCCAGCGTGCCTTTGACTTGAATCAATCTCGCCAGCTTCGTCCTTCCGAGCGCATTATGATTCTATCCTTGGGATCCTGGGAGACCATCTTGCCATGGGAACCTTAAGGGCTGCTACCTTTCACTGGGCAGATGCACCGGAGAACTCGTAGGTCTGGCAATTCCTTGCTGTTCGCACAGATCTCAATTCTCAAACATCCGGGTCACAGGAGCCACTAGCAAAACTGGTTCAGGTGGAGGCAGCGAGGGGGGGACATGAATCACACAGATCGGCTTTCAGGAGCTGATTTGTTCAAAGCAGAAGCAGCTCTCACTGGTTGCTGAGACACTGCTCATGTCAGACATGCAAATGACGTTAGCGCCATGCAAGGTTCAATGTCCATATAGGAGTCACAGGTTCCTTATGAGCGCAGGTTCGAAACAGCTAATTACCCAAGCAGCTACCCGACCCATTTGGAATGGAATGGCGAGGTCCAAGGCGGCGGTTCTACCTGCTATTGTGCAATATATTATTTGTTTGTTTTTGTTTTCATCAACCCCTTGCATCGCGATAGTTCTGTTCTTGTCAGATTGTTTTTTTTTTTTCAGACACAACATGTGGGGCCATTACCCCAACATGTTGACAGTTTACCGTATTTATTTCATGCCTTCTAGGTGGTTGTCAACACAGACCCCTCTTTGCTCCCTTTCTCAAGCGTCACTCAGCACGTCTCCCCAATGTGTGGTGGCTTCGTGTTGATCGTGACCTTTTACATCAGACGTACCATTGAGTGACGTTTCCAAGACACGCCTTTGTTTGACGATCACAATGTCTCGTTTGACAACCCATTGACCTGCTCCCAAATACCTTGCATACCCAACATAGCAATCTCTGGCACTGATACCCCAAGCTCAAAAATGGTGTCGCACCCCGAAGGAAACCACAGAAAACTGGATATACATATATATATATAAAGTATACATATATACACATATACACATATATATATATATGTGTATATATATATATATATTTGATACGGGCCACCACCAAACCCAGTTTGGCTTGCCATTCAAATCCGCCAGACCAGACTCCCCCAATACCCTCAGGCCGAACTCTCGGCGGAGCTCCACCAGCTCATTGCGGAAGCCGGAGTCCTCTCGCCGGGGGCCCCGTTCTCTGGAGACTGGCAAGCTTTGCACTATGCGAGCGCCAGCCGCAGAATGTCAGGTCTTGGAATTCAGCGTTGGTCGCGAGAAAGATTCGCTGCCACGCTGCGACCGCGAAAGGCTCATGCGTGTTTAGCTGCAAGGTGCATGGCCCTGGCGGCCTCTGCAAAGCAGCAGATTCGCCTGCAAGGTTCGTGAAAGGTAGGCAGCCAGTTTGCAGGCTCGCGGCTGGCCGCGGGCAAGTTTTCAGGACTGGGTTCGCAGAGCACTCCTCAAGGAGATACAACAGCCCCCAAAGAATACAACAGCCTCTCATAGATGCTTGGGGTCTCAAAGAAGAAGGGTATTATCACCGGGGCTAGTGGGGCGGACATCCAGATCAAAACCTGCTTCCAAGTCCAATTTTCATGCGGAAAGGTGCGCGCGAAAGGGCCATACCGAGCAAAGCCCACGAAATGAAACTTGGGTCCAAGGCACGTAGATGATCTTACAAAGGCAACCACTGCTCAAAGTGGCTGTGGCTGTGTTTGTTCCAACTTAGCTTGTCCACTTGTGGGTGACTTTGTATTTTCAACATGGCTTAAATCACTACATAATTGCTTGCTTCACCACATTTTCTAGCGACTGACAAAGCATCCAGACAGATGCCAGATTGGAGTTGGCTACCAGGATCTATTCTGCGAAGCTGGCAAACATTTAGTGAAGGGCAGGACTACGCAGCCTTACAACAATGTGTTTCCTACGCTTCAAGAAACAATTCCCAGGAATAAATCATTCTAGGTCGTACCGACGGCTTTTGCTCTAAGCAGGTAAATTAGCGGGACATGCTTGGGAGGCATGCCATATATATATATATATATATGTCCGTTCTGTGTAACCGACATGCGACCTATCATGCGACTGCTTCAAGTGAAACACCATGGTGAAATAAGCCATGACAAGTGGTGTTGGTTGCTGAATTCAACAAGATCAGAAGCTAGTTTCAGCGTACATTCCTGATGAAGGCCCCGTGTTTACTTTATGCACTGTGTTTTTGCCGGCATGCAATGTCTTAGATGCTCTGTGTGGTGTCTTTCTCTTATTGGAGTGACAGTGATCAATTTGTCCTAGGTGACAATCACAACAGGCCATTGGCAGCAAGCTCTAGGGTTGTATAAATTTCTATGGCGCGGTGCCTTGCTGGAATCCGACCTGATATCAGTGTTTTGATATCAGATGCCGGCTCTGCAGATTCATTTGTTCACGCATTCTTCGCCGTCGGTCCGATTGATAGGGCCCCGAAGCTGCCTTGTAGCTCGCTGAGGCAAATCCTCATTGGCCAGCACTCGATCTGACCGGTCTGACTCCAAGGGCAAGCGCATCAGCTGCTCGCCTTGGTTCAGCCCTGGGTCAAAATGTGTTTGAGCGAGCGTTCCTACCTAAAGAAAGGGCAGAGAAAGACAACAGCACGACAACACAAGCATGGTTTCAACAAGCTGCATGTGCCAAGCGAGTTGCATCCCTTGTTTGGTCAGATTGAAAAGGAGGCCATCAGCAGCTTGTTTTGATGCAGTGACATGGGCAGGTTGGAAGGAGCCTGGCTCCTCAGTCGTTTCCCATGCTTCGCCATTAATAATTCCTGAGTACTAACATGGTACTAGACAGAGGGGTCTTCTCTACAAATGGAGGGTTGGGTTCTGGTTCCATTCCATCCTAGTTTTCGGGGGAGAGTCAACTGGGACTGATCCCAACGACAATGGTACCAAGTACTGTCTGGAGTGATTTGATCCGCAGTGGACCGTGTTATTTGCTGGAAGGACCAGGGTAAGGAATCTTGTGACATGGGCAGTTGTCTCCTTGACATCTTGGATCTGTCAGTCAGGTTGCGAAAGGCCGCAATCGCATCGAACGTGTTTCTGTTTGAGCCAAAGCTTGGGCACAGAAGCCACAACCAGGGCGTCTTTTTCTGTGGCGTCTTGGAATATGCCCGAAAATAGCGGCTGTCTGCATGGTAGGAAAGTAAACACCGATTCACCATGCCGCAGTTTCAGGTCAACGGCAACCCCAGCAACACTACAAGAACAAAGCACCCCACTTGTTTCCCATGGACATCCACTGGTTTGCGCTTGGAAAGGCCTTCCTAATTCGCAAGTAGTCAAAGGTTGTCACTCGTGTGGCTTGGCTTCTCTTGAATCTTGAGGTTTATTGTCCTGGGCGGAAATATTGGGTTTCCTGTCGAAGTCTTGTGGGGCAATCACAACATGTTGATCCCGTACAGAACAACATTTTGGGCCCTGCACGGTTTGCCCGGATATGCTCCCTCAAGACGAAGCCCAAAATGTCCGAGGACATGGCTGATTTCACCAGTGGTGTTCGACCTTCTGATGGTTTTCTTCTCTAAGTCCTCGCAAGTTCACCCAGCGTGTGGTTGATCGCGCGTGAGGTTTTGCTGAGCCTGCCCTTGAGCCTGGATCCCAACGGAACTCCGTTGTGTCATTGGCCTCAATGCAGTCGTCCTACTCGTGGCATTCCGCACCTCAGACGGCTGGGGGGTAGGGGGGGAAGGGGAGGAGGGCTAAAAGGCATGGGGGTGGAAGGCGGGAACCAGATTCAATGATGGCATAGCATGTTTGTTTGCCACGCGAGTCGGGTTTCCTTTTGTTGCTCCGGTCTGGCTGGCGAGCTTTGATCGCCCTGCTTCGGAGAACAGCGCGGGACACCGTACAAATATTGGAGACGTGTTTTGTTTTTGGGAGCGTTCTAAAGATGTTGGTTTGTACGTTCTGCAATCTGGCATTTCAGTCCAGAGACTAAACTGTGCAACTGGGTGCAGGCAGGAGTGCATTGGCTGTTTGCCGGATACCGACTCAATTCGTGGTACAATTTGCCCTGAGCAGAGTCCCTAAAGGCGATTTTCCCGGGAGCCTGAGAGTCTCTCTGCTTTTTGGCCCCTGCCTGTCCGCATGACAAACTTAGCTCTTGGATCTCCTAGCAAGCACACGGTTTTGCCCTGTCCACCCAGTGACAGTCCATATCCACCCATTGACAGTCCACATTGTTGTAAAGGTGCACACAAATTACGTGTGTGTGTGTGTGTGCGCGTGTGCTGGTGTTATGTTATGCACTAGATGGTGGTCGGCAGAGCCACCCCTTTGAGCAGCCCAAAGCGACCAGAGTTGATGGTGGCTTCCTTTGACCTTAACTCAATTGTTCAGTGGCTCCCTTTTTCCTTTTTTTTGGTGGCTGCCCCACTAAAATGGTCTTCCAAAAAAAGTTCCCTTTTTTCCCACGGTCACTGAACAACTGAGTTAAGCAAGCAAACAAGCATTGCGTACAGCCACGGTCCCCTACCAAGGAATCTGCAAGCTTTGTTGAGGTACCAGTGGCTCACCAAGCCGTCCCTGTGAATCACATTTCCTTGTCGCTACAGACACATAAAAGAGGCACCGTGTTCTTTTTGGCGTTTGGGTGCTAACTCCAAGTTTGTTTTCCTCTTGTCTTGCCGAGGGAGTGGAGTGGCATGGAGTGGAGTAGCAGGGAGTGGAAGGGAGTGCTGGCGGGTCAAAGGCCCGTACCCCCAGTAAACATCCCAATCTCCTCTAAGATAGACTAAAATGGGTGGTGCACCTACCCCAAAAATGGCACCATTGGTTTTGAGCCACAGCCACTTCAGTTTTTCACGCTGCAATCCTCCCCATGGCGAGCGCTTCAGGAAGGAGATTCCTCCTACCACTCGGAGGACGAGGAGCAGGTTGAGGTCTCCCTGTGCCGGCCTTTAGAGTTGGCGGCTTACATGGGCAACCTGGAGCCCCTTGCCAGCAGGGGGGAGTCAGCAGCTGCCCCTGAAAAAAGGGGGTTGGTGGAGGTCAGATGAGTTGTTTGTGGGTGGTGATCGGCAGGGCGGAATAAGCCCGTGTTTGCAAGACCACAGCCTGGACACCAAAAGAGACATTCAGACTTTCAGACTCGCAAGTCAATGCTCACATTTCTGTGGACATGCACAGATGTGATTCGCGCTACGAGACATGGCTTTCTTCTGGTTGGGGGCATTTGCTTGCCGTTTGTGCCCAGAGGTTTCTTCTGGGGACGCCGCATTGTTTGAGATTGTCGGCTAGATGCGCATTGGACAGGACAATATGTTTCGTTCGTGATTCCTGGGAGTGAATTCTTACTAAACGCGGACTAGCACATCAAGCTTTGGTTTTGGAGCATCGGTGCCCGCAGTGGTTCCATGAAAAAGTTTGGGATGAGAAAGTCCGGGATGATCTAGCCACATGGGGGCAATCCTTTGGACAGAATGTTTGCCTCATGTCCCTGTTCAGCGCTTTCCCGATCGAAGCGCACTGAGCGCTTCGAAGACAACCGAGGCTTCAGCCACCATCCCACCCTAAGCCTCAGGGGGTTTCTGCCGCATCGGCCAAGCACAACGCGGACGGGCTGTCACGCTGTCACCGCTTTTTTGGCTTCTCTGGGGGTTCCAAGAGGTCGAGAGGATTTTGCAAGATGAGCAGTCGTCTCCCACGGATGCTGAAGCTCCTTGCAATCCACCACATTTCATTGTCATGATGTTGATTTGGACCATGGCAACGCTTTGACTTCTAACTCCATAACGCGCATGGACTGTTCCCCCGTTTTGGACCCGAGACGAGACATTCGAGAGTCCATATGCCTCAGCTCCAGGCACGTGCAGCTTCTCATGTGTCGGGGCGCGGACCCAGAGGCGAGGGAATGCGTACTGAGCTGTCCGAATAAGAAGCCTGGCTCCTGGAAACGGTAATCGATTTGAATCCTTCATTCACGACTTAGTGCTTCTCTTTGTTTTCCATTTATGGATGGCAACTTTCATTTGCCCAGCTGCAACCGGTTTGATTTGGGCCAAACCGATGAGAAACACCCAACGCACGTGCCATGTGCCGTCCCTGGATGTGGGCTGAACTGTAGTGGATTCCATGTTTTTACCGTTCAAGGACAGTACGACATGCTCACAACTATACACATCTTCTCCCTTTTTTGGGGCCGGCGTTGCTCCACACATGTTTCTTTTCATCCAGATCTCCGAGGCTTAGCTGGTTGCTTCCATGGTTTGTTTCTTCGGCTTCAGCATTCAACCGCTCCAACGGCACGTGCAGGCGCAGGGCAGCCATGGCTTCAGCGGCCGGGAGATCGCGGAGGTCTGCGGGCATCACCATGTCCAGCGCTTCTTCAATGAGGCCGGGAAAAACCGAAAGTTGGGGCAGCCAACTAAGCTCAACTAAGCTGAACACTTGTCATAGAAAGTTGCGATTTTGAGCTTGAGCTGCGGAAATGTACTTCATGTACTACGCTTGTACTACAAAGTTACGATTTTGAGCTGGAGCTGCGAACGTGTACTTTTGTATACTGCACTTCACTGCAAAGTTGCGGATTTTGAGCTGGAGCTGCGGAAGTGTACTTCATGTACTACACTTGTACTACAAAGTTGCGGCTTTCAAGCCGGACAGCCCCAATTGCTTGAAACTTGGAAAAGCGATAGAGTATAAGGTTACAAGGGTTGTCCACAGGGTTTTTTCCAGCCCAAGTGCTGTTTTTGGCCGTCTCCAGATGAAGCTTTCAAGCAAGGGACCCGTTCTGTTCTCGGAGAGCTCGTTTTGAGCTTTACCAAGTCGGCCTCCACAGATTAAAAAGACGCACGTACCATAAGCACAATTGGTGTTGACCACGCAGACAATCAGAGGATTGCCAATAAAACAGCAGGGCACGAAGGAGGCATGACCGTTTTGACTAGGTGCCTTTACTTGTCCAGGGAAAGAATCCCAGCACGTCAAGTCGCTGAATCAAATGCTAGAACTGCATGCAGCAGCACGCCGCCGCAGATTCTTCCTGTGAACTACTTCTCAGTTTGAGACCTGTGCCTGGCTTGGTGAGCGCGGTTTTCCGGACAGTGGTAGCTCGGGCGACCCACCGTGGATAGCTCCTGGTGCTCGGGACAATCCAAGAAAGAGGCTGCCGTATGGACCAGTCAGAGGAGGAAGTTCTCGCTTTGGCACACTTTGAAACCAATCCCATACACCACAATATTAGGATTGTTTGGAAGTGCATCTCACAACTGAGCTCGGCATCCGGGCAGTCTTAAACTAGGTTTTCGCACAACATACGCCCTATACACGAATGCGGGGTTTATGAGAGGCTGGTAGTTGCGATGACAGGCAAGACCGCTGCCAGCACACAGATGTAGATGAAGATGCCGGCAATATTGCTATCATCGCGATCACTTGCCAACTTGCAGCTGGGTACACTAGAAGGGAATGCACATGCTTTCCTTCGATGGTGTTTGCCACTTTCCTGTCAATTGAAGCTCGGCTCTTGATGTATGCTGTGGCATAACGCATAATATGCTTGCACAATCGATTCAGCCGGTGGAATTTTCGTACTGGAGCCACTGTCGACTTCGTGTCAATCTGTAGCCGGCATTTGGCCCCTGGCAAAGTGCCCAATGCAACAGGTCAACAGTGGCTCACATGTAGCTTCGGCGCCATGATCTGCAACAGACATGGCTCCGGGCAGTTCGCAGGTTAAGGCAGGCGCCTGACATCGCAGGGAGGGGAAGGCCTGGGTTATGCATTGCTACAGCGAAGCAACATGTTGGACCCTCTTTGCTGTTCCCCCCCCTGGAACAGTGGAACCAGTCAGCAGGACCCTCTTCGGGAAAATCCTTTGGGTGTGGGTGGGACTTGGACTTGCCAGTACTTACTCTAGCATTGCCATAGTATTTCCAATTCTAAATTTAGTATTGCCAAGACTAACTCTCAGATTCCACGGAACTTACTTTGGCATTGCCTAAACCAAATTAATTTTAGTATTGCCAAGACTAGCTCTCAGATTCCCCGGAACTTACTTTAGTACTGCCAAGTCTAAATTTAGTATTGCCAAAGTTCACTCCCCGTACGTATACTTCAATTCTAATTTGGCTGGGAAGAGCCCGTTTTTTCAGCAGCCCAAAAAGCAAAGGTCGACATTAAAGGGGGCCCCAAAACAGTTACATTCAGGAGGATTAGGGCCCCTTGTGGTGATCTGTCCAACCAGGGTTTCCCGATGTTTGCCCGGATGTGTTGGCTCGTGTTTTTGCCTAACTTGGTTTCGTTTTTGTTTTTTGCCTGATTGATTTCCTGCATTTGTTCCGGGGAAAAAACATATGCCACAATAGAGGACCCCAACAAAGTCACCGGATCCTGGTGTGCCAACAGCAAAGCATGCCCCAATAGACGGCCAAATCTCGATCGGGAGTCTAACATTGGAGGCGGTTTCCCAAAAAAGGTCAAGGAGTAGCTGCAAAATGGGGCACCTGGATTTCCAACTAAGGAGCACTTAAACCGCTGGGAAGCGGAAAGCATCTCGTAGGAGGGACAGTCGTCTTCTTAGGGGCCTTCTTTGACAATGGTTACAAGCAACCACCGCAAAAAAGTCGCAATGATCCAACAATGGACAAACGATCCAGATCCTCCCAGCGAAACATGATTTGTGGGGCATCCTACACCTTCAGTGAAGAAGCCCATATCGATATGCGACACAAACAATCGCCTCACCCTGTCCCAAGTGCGGTCAATGGATCATTGACCAAGTATATGTACACTGATACCACTGGATCGTGAAATGAACACTTAATTAACTCACCACATCAAAGAAGGATTGTATATCCAGCGTCCTTCATTTCCACGCACACCCAAATTGCAGTACCAAAGTAAACAAAACAAAGCGACCCCTGGTTTACCAGCAAGCAACATGCCACATTCCTGGTCTGCGAGACAAATGAGCTCTCTTAGGTTCAGCAAACTGCCAGAGGAGCAGGGAATGGGGATCAAGCATGACATTCAAAAAGCATCTTGCCGCTCTCCCGCTCTCCCCCAGCTTCTTGCAAACCGCAAACGGCTTGAGACTTCAGCATGCTCCGCATGCAAGACGTGGCCCATCGCTCAGCATCAGTAGAAATGATATTTGAACAACCCAGCCTTGCCCTACTTTTACCGCGTTTCATGCAAATGTGTTGACCTGCTTAAAGTGTAGGAGAAATGTCAAGTGGCCCTGTGAGGGCAGGACCCAGTTTCGGCACCGGAAGCTGAGATTGGCCAATCGGGTTCAAAAAGGCCAAGTCCCAAGTGGCTGTTTGTCAGAAGGAAACTCTTGCGGCACAGTTCTTCTTGGCGAACCTCGGCTTCCAAAGTGTTGCCCTTGCGGAAAGTCACTCAAGCGTGATGGGCATTTGGCTGTGTGGTCTTGATTTTCCAAGCAGGCTTGCTCGGCTCATGCGACGCCCTGAATGCGCTTCTTTGTGCCGTAGACTGTACGGCAGCAGATGAGGCGCTCTTTTTGGAGATGACAGTCTCTCGAAGGCTCCAAGTCTTCGGAGCATGGCATGCAACACACAGGCGTTCGAAAGTGGTGCCCTTTCGGTTGGTGTTTGAAGGTTTGGTTTCCAGGAGACCCACGGATCTGGTGCGACTCAAGCACCCAAAAGTTATGCAGAGCGGGTTGATTCTTGCCTTGGCCTGTGGTAGGTCATGAGAGACAAAAATATATATGCCTATCACATCCATAAAGCTTACATAATGCCATAGCATGCCGGACAACGCCGCTGCGTTGCTGCCAGTTTAGCTACTTATATACCCTTGCTTGTTCTTCGTTTGGAATATGGCAGTGAACCTGCCAAGCATTCCCGCAAGGATCCCTACGTGGGTGGAAAGACGTGTTGTTTTCGCATTCCAAAGTAAGAACAAGCAAGTAGATGCTACGCATCCATGGATTTCGTGCGGTTCGAGCCACACTGTGGGCAGCACTTCATGGTTTATCAGAAATGGAAATGCCTGACTGCCATAGGCGACAGGCTCCATATACGATCCGTGGAGGTTCCTCTGCAGCTTGGAAGGACGAGACGCAAACCCCCGCGGCGAAATGAAAAGCAGCCTGCGCTGCAGCGCGAGATGGCATTTTCATCTTCATGCTCACATTTTGGACTTGTATGTACCAGACGAACCTGACGACCTTTCCACGGCAGACATGCTGTTTGCCTTTTGGAGAAGTCGATTCAGCGAGCAATCAGTCTGGGAAACGGAGCGCGCTCGTTGCGTTGCTCGAAGCTCCCATTTTTGGACGAGCTGAGCCTTGAGGCCCGGGCACCCGGGACGGGCACCCGGGCCGTGGATTTGTCGCTACCCGGGCGTCCGGTGAGTGGCATGAGATATGTGTCAGGTTGCCACTAAGTGTATCTTTGGATTGTAGCTTTGGAGGTCCATGTAAACAGGCATCTTGGCAAGCAACCAGCAGTCGTTGACTCATCATTCCGTCACCTGTCCTGCGTAACGTTCCTTCGTCGCAGAATCAGAATTGATATGCAGTGAGTAAAGTTTGCCTATTCCTGATAGGCAGGCAGGCAGGCAGCAACAATCAGTAACAATCAGGCAGGGAATAAGGTTGGCAAGTTAAACAATAGGGGGGGACAAGTGATAGGGTAAGAGAGTGAAATTGAGGCGGGCAGGCGAGAGAGTAATCGAGTAATAGAGCAGTAGAGGCAAAGAGCAAGAAAGAGAAAGAGAAAAAGAAAGGAAAGGGAAAGGGAAGGGAAAGAGAAAGACAGAGAAAAGGCAAAGCAAAAGTAACATGAAAAACGCAGAAGAGAAAAACACTCGGAAAGAGACAGAGAAGGATAATAAACCAGATTAAACATAAGAAGAGAGAGACAGAGACGGAGACAGAGAAAGAGAGAGAGAGAAAGAAACAGAAAGATAAAGAGAGAGAGAAGCAACAAGCGGACGGACAAAGTCTATAAAACTGAGACAGACACAGCCAGAGACAGATACGGCAATGATTGGCACAAAGGCATACTGAGGAACCGCTGGGCCATGGTCACTGCAAAGAAACACAGAAAGACGCTAAGAGACACAGATGGTGGGTGAGAAGTTAGACAGAAGACTCTGAAACTGTCAAGGACACATGCACAGGGAGGCAATGATTGAGAATTTTAAGAATCTAAGAGGCTCATTCTTGCAGAAACAGGCTGACCACGTAGGCATGGCTGCCAGTGTCCGCGTACAGGGCTGATACACCCAAACCAACTTTGCTCCAAAGACAGCCAGCCACGGGCTGCAACACTTCATAGAATGGGAGGCCGGCAACCCAACTAATCAAGTAGTCGTAAGTATTTTGTCACGCTTCTTTACTTGCTGGGGCTCAGCAGGAAATGAGGGAAACACCCCTATACACCATCCCTTGTGGTTTCCTTTAAGGGAATCCCAAAACGGTTCATTCCCTCATTCCCTGCTTCTCGCACCGGCAAGTTTAAGTCACAGTTCTTTACGTGTTTTGCGTGCAGCTGCCCAGGCTTGCATTTCTCGGAGCCATGTTCGGACGCCGCTCGCTCAGCTGGATGCGGGGTGCGGGTGTGGCCCTTGCGCAGACCATGGCAAGGAAGGGGGAATGCCTCCTGACCCCTAGATTGTCATATATCCACACCAAGCTCAGACAGGAAAGTTTGTATGTGCATTGGCGGGGACGTCATCAATGTAACAGGGGGCTACCATAGTAGCCCAAGCTCAAGATTATCAGTCACGCTACGAGCTATAATTTCTGGAGATCAACGTTCCACATTTTATCAGAGATCCCCGCTTCCCCCGAAAGTATCATGAGTAGCCTGCAGGGAAGGATCCAACAGATGACGATGTTCAATATAGCTTTGCGCCACGCGCAATGGTTATGACACGATCGACTCTAACCCATAAAGAAACAACATTTTGTTTGTCAAGGCGTTCCTTGCAAAGAAAAAGGAGGCTGGAAAGACTGCTCGCCGTGGCGCTTTGATGAGGGTGATGTACTGAAGCCATGACAGCTTGTCCAATACATGGACTGCAGTTTGAAATTTGATGAAACTGACCAGACTCAGACTTTGCACTCAGATCCTTGGTGGGCTGAAATGCTGAAATCTGCCAACTTGACTTTATTCTCGCATGTCCAGGTTATCCTTGTCACCGGACATATCAGATCAGGTTTCTTTGAAAAGG